CCTCCTCCTCCTCCTCCTCCCCCCTCCTCCTCCTTCTCCTCCTCCTCCTCCTCCTCGAGTAGTGAATTGTCCGTCTTCGGTTCTCGAGAGGGCGCCGTGGCCGTTATTCTCCAGGCTTGCGCCCGCCAGGCTTGGGCCTCAGGTCGTTTTCACTACGCCACGTTTTACCAAAGGGGGGTCTGTCCATCCCCGAAGGAGGAGAAGGCACCCATGCCGCGACCCTTCCCTCGCTGTCCCCTCGTTGGGCCGCCTGGGAGGCCCTCGTCGCCACCGCTGGATTCGCTTGTAATAGTTTCTGGTCAGAACGGACCCAGAAAGAGGTCCAGGGAGCGGTCTGATTACCTAGTGGTTTCCCCTGTACCTGCTCTGGGCCCAATCCTGGAGCAGTTTTTAACGCTTCCAGGGAGCAGTCGGTTTACCATGTTCAGGTTCGAGAGACAGTTTCTGAAAACGGCGAACACCAGTGTCGGTTTCCGGGCCCCCGAAGGTGTCCACGTATATCACAGAAGAGCGAGCGGAGGAAGTGGCAGTTCGCTTTTGGGGGGGTCTTCCCGTCGCCAAGGCTGAACGCAACAGCTCGGACTTGTTGTGCGTCTGGAGCCCAGGACGGGTCCGGGGACCGAGGTTGAGCTACCGCTATCTGAACTCGCACGTCCTGCTCCGAACGCAGTGCACGGGCCAGTTGCGACGAACCTGGCGCGTGTTGGGTGCCCGGACGCCTTCTTCGCCGCGCGATGTGCCGCGCAAGCCACCGCGTAGGGGCGCCGCGCTCTTTCGCGTGAGACCCTTCTTCCGTCGTCGCACCAGTGGGGCCGCAGCAAGGGGGGTCTGAGGAGGATCGGGGATTCAGGTTTTGGTGTGTGTGCGCGTGTTTGTGTGTGAGCGTGTGTATGTTTTTTTTTCCGTGCGTGCAACCAATGCGCTTTTCGGTGCCCCCGTTTAGCTTCACGCTGGCGCGGGCGAAACAAGTGTGTGAGTGTGTGCGTGTGCGTGTGCGTGAGCGTGTGTGTGTGTGTGTGTGTGTGTGTAGGTGTGTGTGCGTCTATGTGTAATAGGTGTGCGTAGGTGTGTGTGTGTGTGTGTTTGGTGTGTGTGTGTGTGGCGCGTGTGTGCGTTAATGTGTTTGTGTTTGTGCATGGCTTTGAGCGTCTGGCTATGTTGCCGCTAGCAAAATCCTGGCAGTGCTCCCAACGTTGGCGCTCTGACGGTGCGGGAGGCTCCAAGAGTGGCGCAAGAGACACTTGGGGCCCGCAGCAAGTGTCTGAGAGGTTCCACCGACACCTCCTCAAGGCTCCCATGCGCTTCTGGGGGCCCAAATTTCAAGACCCAGGAGCCCCCCCACGACGGCGACGACGACGACAACGACGCCGACGGCGACGGCGGCGACGGCGACGGCGACGACGACGGCGGCAGCGGCGACGACGACGATGGCGACGACGACGACGACGACGGCGGCAGCGGCGACTACGACGACGACCACGGCGACGGCGACGGCGACGGGCAGTGCCGCAGCCTCTCGGCCGAAGGCCGGCGGCCGAAGAGCCCTCTCGGCCTGCCCGCCCCCGGCCGCCGCCCTCGCCCCCCGCCCGCGGGGGCCCTGGGCCGCAGATGGCGGGGAGCGGCCTGCCGGGAAGCCCCCCCGCGGGGCTCTGGGCCGTGGCCGAGGAGGAGCGCGGCCCCCGATCAAGCAGTCCAGGACTCCAGCAATCTCCGGGGAGGAGGAGGTCCCCATGCCTCTTCCCACCCTTCGTTTCTATAAGGAGGGGGAAAAACACACAGACACACGGAATCGCCGATCCCCAGAAAATATGGGAAAATATTGGAAGTGGGGGGGAAGACAGAAGCCCAGAAAATATAAGAAAATACTGGGAGTATTGTCATTTGTGTGTGTTTATTTGTGTGTCCTGGGGCCCCTTCAGTTTCCCCTTTTTGGGGGGCCTCGTGGTCCTCAAGCAAGCAATCCATCCATGAATCAATCCATCAAGCATCGGAGGAGAGAAATCCATACACGTAAACTTGTGGCGCTTCGCGCGAATAAGGCGGCGCCGGAGGCGCCGCCAGGGGGCCCCGGCGCGGATCCAAGGGAGGGTGTCCATCGCGGGATCAATCAAGCAATCAATCTCAGTGGAGGAGAAGGGTACCCATACCTCCACACTTCCCTCATTTTCCCTTTTTTGGGGCCTCCTGGACATGCCTCGTCACCACCGCTGGATACGCCTCGAGATTCCGGTCAGGTCGCACCCCTGGAGAGGTCCCGGGAGTAGCGGTATCGGCACCTTTTGGTTTCCCCACAATCAATCATTGAACCAAACGATCAATCAATCAATCAATCAACAGAAATTCGGCGGCGAAGTTTATCCATGTAGACACCGCCCCCCAGGCCAGGCCGACCCTGAACCCAGGCCCTCCTGACTTGGCCAGGAGGGCGTGGCGTATACACCGCTGCTGGGTTCACGATGGGCCGGGTCAGGAAGCAGTGGATGTGTTTAGAGTGCGTCGCCCGACTGAGAGGCAAAGGTCGGCGGCAAGCCCCTGGGGAACCGAGAAGCGGCGGGCCTCCTCAGAAGGCTGGAAGGTCAGGTTCCCCGGCCTCCTGGCAATTTTTCTGAGCTCTTTTTGATCTGGTTTTCGAGCCGCTCAGAAGGTGCAAGGGTTTCTCAGAAGGCCTTCTCCTTCTCTCGGGCCGGGCGAAAGGGGGGGATTGGGAAAGGGGGGGTACGAAATTTGCTGCATGCAGCCGGTTTCGGGCTCACCGAGGGGCCCATTCCTCGATACATAGCCGCCTCCGGCGGCGGGAGGCGCCGGGAAAAGCAGCTACGCGAGCTGATTCTCAAACCCCCCCTTTGCTATCCCCCCCTTTCGCCCGACCCGAAAGGTGCAAGGGTTTCTCAGAAGGCCTTCTCCTTCTCACTTCCCCCCCTCGCTCGCTGCCGAAAAGACGGGCGCCGCCGGACCTCGAGGTGCGGACTGCTTTGCGGGCGCCCCCGCTGGCCTCCCTGGTCCGAGCGCAACGCCCCTGGGACGGGGGGAGGGAGGAGGAGGAGGAGGAGGAGGAGGAGGAGGAGGAGGAGGAGGAGGAGGAGGAGGAGGAGGAGCTCCTGACGGACCTCAGGCAGCTGGCAGCCGCCTGTCCGACAGACACCCCGACACCCGGCGACACGTTCCACTTCCCGGGAGCTTGGCGCGAGTTTGCAGTGTCGGATCCCGCGAGGTGGAAGTGCCTTTGCCACGCAGTGCGGGCATGTCCATGTGAACCGGCGCCGCAGTCACCGACGACCTCGCGCCAGCTGCGAGGCAAGCGGTCGCCCCCGCCAGGCCCTCTGACCGCGCCGGCCCCGATTCCTTCATGCCTTGAGTGCCAGAAGGCATGCCGCGGCTCCAAGGGCCTGGCCGATCACAGGATGCACGCGCACGGCATGGAAATGCTTGCCCGGTGCCACATCTCAGAGGCGCGATCTGCCCAGCTTGCCCAACGGACTTGCACACCCGCCCCCGCGCCCTCCGCAACCTTCAATTTGCAAGCTAGCCGTGCAGGACCCAACTGATGCGGGGGGATCTGCATGCGTACTCCGGTAATTATCAGGTCGCTGCAACAAAAGAATTCATTACTATTAATCAACTCTCTTAATCTTAGGACAGTGAAAACCGCCCATGTCCCTTAGAACGAGCAGTCAAAATCACCAAACGAGGATTCAACATCAGCAAACACTGCACGGGGCGAAACGCGCACACGCGGCCTCTGCCAGCCGCGCCCCGTGTCGAATGTGCAGCCCGCCGACGCCCCAGCAGGGGATCCGCGACATACAGAATCACCCAGGAGGGGCCGGGAAGTCTGGCGATGTTCTGGAAATCCACGGACTTGCGCGCCTTGTACAGGCGCTTCCATAAATAAGCATGTCTATGTATATATATACACATATCTTCACATATCTTCACATATATATATATATATATGTATGTATATATATATAGCACACACATATATATAGTATACATATTTGTGTTATATATACACATATGAATATAGATATACCTCTAGCGCTCTCGGCTGGCGCTCTCGGCTTCTGCTTTAAACGGCCCTCCAGTGCTCACTGTGCACGGCCGGACTCGCTTCACATCTGTCATCTTCCCGAATGGGGAATAGAAGGGCTTCCATCCACGGCGTGGTGTTTCCCCTCCGCCTGCACTTGCTCACCGAGCCGACGCCCCGCCCCCTGCTGGCCTTGCGCTGCGTCGCCAGCTCCCTCACGCATGAGCTTCAGGTTCGCCTTCAGCCGCCTGGAGCTTGGAATCGAATCATCGCCATCACCGTCGTCATCATCATCATCATCATCATCATCATCATCATCATCATCATCATCATCATCATCATCATCATCATATTCATCATCACATCATCGTCGTCGTCACCATCATCATCATCATCATCATCATCATCATTATCTTCATCTTCATCTTCATCTTCATCTTCATCTTCATTTTCATCATCATCATCATCATCATCATCATCATCGTCATCGTCATCGTCATCATCATCGTCATCATCACCACCATCGGCAGAAACATCATCATCATCATTCCTCCTCCCTCTTCTCCTCCTCCTCCCCAGACCGTTATGGCTTTACCCGATCATCGTCATCATCAGCATCATCATAAACATCATCATCAGCATCATCATCATCATCACCATCACCATCACCATCATTATTGCGATCAGTATCACCACCAGTAGCATCATAACCAGCATCATCATCAGCATCATCATTGTCAACATCACCCTCATCATCATCATCATCATCATCATCATCATCATCATCATCATCATCATCATCGTCATCGTCATCGTCATCGTCATCATCATCATCACCAGCGGCAGAAACATCATCATCAGTCCTCCTTCCTCTCCTCTTTCTTCTCCTCCTCCTCTTCCTCCTCCCTCCTCCTGGCTCCGCCACCACGAAGCCCGTGACCGCGTTGGCTGACAGCGGCTGCGCGACGAACGTTGCTGATTGGGCGCCCACCACGGGGCTGTCGTAGGGCGCGAACTCCTCCTCCCCTTCCTCGTCCTCCCCCTCCTGTTCCCCTCCTCCTCCTCCTCCTCCTCCTCCTCCTCCTCCTCCTCCTCCTCCTCCTCTTCCTCTTCCTCCTCCTCCTCCGGGGAAGAGCAAGCGGGCAGAGAACAGCACGAGACCGTTTTAGGTATCCTGTGTCGATAGTCAGCATCGGTTGTCTTAGCCCTATCCCCATCTCCATCCCGACCCCCACCACTCCACCACCCCAGTTGGGGATATGCGCCTTCACCTTCGAAGGGAACAGCCAATGTTCCCATCTTGTGGGGTACACCGGCCAGTGAGACCTAGGCCATGCCCGTGAGGATAGGGATCGGCGAAACGATGCTCAAGCGTGAGGCCGTTGCTCTATCCCCTGCCGATCAGCGGGCGTGTCCGGGGGAGGGGAGGGGAGGGGGGGAGGGGGGCTGGTCACGTCAAGATTCGCGGCCGTCTGGCAAGGTCAAGGGGGGTGGAGAGGGGAGGGGAAGGTAAGGGCCGTCTGGGAATGGTTACGAATGTCTAGCTCCTAGATGGCGCCAGCGCAATCGTAACGTGAACAGGAAAAGCCAAAACATGAGATCCATCGGGGACGCCTGTCTTCGAAGAACAAAGAACTGCACAAACATAGTTTCTTCGGGCTCCGCATGGATGTCTGGTGTCTCGGGAGGTCCAACGCCGATCCAAGAAATCCCCGCGAACCTCTGAGGTCTTATGTTTCTGTTGTTCTTGAGAGTCCAACTATGCCCTGGGGCGGCTGCAGAGCTTCCAGCTGTGGTATGAGCTTCTCAGCCGCCTTGGGACAGGCGTCCCCGATGGCGGCAAAGTGTATTCCTCATCCGACAGGTTGGGGATGCTAGATCTTCTCAAGAGCGCCCGGCCAGCCTCGCACACCCTGAATTAAAACAGAGCTAGGATCGGGATAAATCGCTCCAGAGCGTTCCAGAGCGCTCTCAGAGCGTTCCGGAACGCTCTGAGAGCGGCCGCGGCGCCCAATACATCCTCCAAACCCGCCGATTCTCAGAGATTTCGAGTTATCCCGATCCGATTTTGTCCCGATCTTCGCGTCGTTTTAGGAATACCATGGCCGCGGGGCCAAAGCTGTGCTGGTGCTCCCCAGGCATCCCGCCTCGAGCTTTCTCCGACGAGTGGCGTTTGCATGCCGCGGCCGCTGGGCCCACAGCGTGCTGGTGCTCCCTGGGCATCCCGCCGCGCGTCTGTTTTGGGTGGGGATCGCTCCAACCAGGATAAAATTGTCAGCCACGCGCAGAGGGGGGTGAGGGGAGGGGGGAGGGCTTCTTAGAAGCACCCCCGCTTCTTAGAAGGCGCCGGCCTTATCTATAGATGTAAGGCCGGCGCCTTCTAAGAAGCAGCCTGCTTCTAAGAAGACCCCCCCCCTCCCCCCACCCCCTTGTGCGCGCCGCCAAAATTGTACCGCCCTGCGCCCGCTGAAGGAGGAGGAGCCTCAGTGCACAGCCCCGCGCTCCGGCCAGCCCCTGGAGGGCGAGTTAGCGGATCTGCGCTGGCGGGTCAAGAAGCAGGAGAGCAGGATCAGCGAGCTCGCCACGTATGCGGGCGTCGTCCAGAAGGAGTCGGCTCACAACAGAACTGCGTAAGCACAGACTTGAGAGATCCACGAACCCGGTAAGGAACTTGAGTCCATTGTTCTTCTGACGCGCGTGCAGTTTTTCCCTATTCGCGTGGCTGCAGCTGCTGCCTCCAACACGTCCTGCTCATCCTCCCTCTCCTCCTGCTCCTCCGCCCCATCCCCACCATCCTCATCCTCCTCCTCCTCCTCCTCCTCCTCCTCCTCCTCCTCCTCTTCCTCCCTTTTCCTCCTCGTCAGGAGCCTCGTCCTTCCCCTCGGCGCCAGCAAGACGGTCCTGGCCTTCGGGCTCCGTCGTACTGGTGCAGGGGGGGGGCTTGAGGTGTTTGTGTGCCACCCGCTGCCCCTCGGCGTCCGCTTCCTCGCTCCTCGTCCTCTCCTTCCTTCTTCTTCTTCTTCTTCTTCTTCTTCTTCCTCGTTCCTTCCTCCTTCCTCCTCCTCGTCATCATATCCTTAAGTCGGGCCTGTCCTCGACCACAGCGGGAATAGGCAAACATAGTCGAAGAATAGTATGGGGATTCTTGTTTGACTATTTTTGAGCACTTCTGGGTTATGTTATTCACATGTTTCGCCCAAGATCCCCGTGTAGGGGGACAGGCCCGACCTGATCATACTCATGCCTTCGCATTCTTTCTCCCCATCGTCCTCTCCCTCCTACACGGCGGTGCCTTTCCACGTGTGAAGAATCCGACGCGACCGAGTTTGTTGCCACCCTGGGGGCCTCGGGCGCGCAACAGCATCTGCCCCGCGCGCACGCGCCAGGCGCAGGCTGGTCCCCCCCTCTGCGCATGTAGATCTTCGAGTGTAGAGACCCAGCGCGCCAAAGTTGGGGTCCCCCCTGGGGGCCGCAGGCACGTGAATGTTCACCACCCACCAAACCACCCCAACCCAACCCGAAGGCTTCAATTTGCCCTCCATTTCCAGTGGGGGGGGTCGGGGAATATCGAAAACACAGATGGAACCCTAACCCCCCCCCAACCCGAAATTCGAGTCTTCAGGTTGGGTTGGGGTGGTCTGGCAGGTAGTCAGATCTGCATGCCCCGCGCGCACGCGCCAGGCGCACGTAGAGCCCCCTCTCCGAACCCGACTCTCACGTGCAAAATTCGGCGAGCCCACATTGGGTCTCTCCCCCCCTTGGGGCCCAGGGAGGGGGCCGTGGACACGCGCAACTATGTCCCCTTCGCGCACGCGCCAGGCGCCCCAGTTTACCGCCAGCCTTCTCCCACTCGCCGGCCCGGCCGCTGAGGTGCTGCGTGAGGCTCGGGCCCACCGCTTTAGGTTAATCCGTGTCTGCGCGCCCCGCTCTGACTGGACTCGCCGCTGGCGCGCTCGCCTGCGGCCGCTGACCAAAAAGCACGCGCCAGGCGCCCCCCCCTCTCCGTTGAGGCCCCCCTATGGGGCCGCGGACACGTGCCAGGCGCGCACGTGCCCGGCGCATTTTGGGCCAGCCCCGCGCCCGAGTTGGGGCCCCCTTGGGAGCCATGCTCCTGTAGAAGTAGATGCCCTGCGCGCACGCGCCAGGCACTTGGGCCCCCCTTTGCGAACACGCATCTTTACGAAGGCCGTGAGCCCGTGGAAATACCTGCATCGCGCGCACGCGACAGGCAAATGGTAGGCCCCTCTTCTCCGCGTACGTATTGCTGGAATGGGCCGTATACGCCACAGAAAAATGCGCCCAGCGCGCACCCGACAGGCGCATGTTGAGATCCCCTTTTCCGCGGACATGTATGTATACATGCATACAGATGTGTATATTTATGTATATATACACATATGTATGTATATGTATGTATGTATATATATATATATGTATGTATATACACGCGTAAGCAATCCGACGGGCCCAAGTGAAGCCCCCCCCCCTTTCCGCGCACGCATTTTCAAGTGCAAACATTCCAACGCGCCCAAGTTGGGTCGCTCCCCCGTTGGGACCGTGAGCGCCTGGAGAAGCACGTGCCCTGCGCGCTCGCGCCAGGGGCACGTTGGGCCCCCCTCCGCGCACGTGGGAGTTTCGAGGAGGATTCAGCTCTGGCGACGACGGCTCTCGGGGACGAACAGCAGCATCGGTTTGTCTCCCCTCTTCTGGCTCGCAAACTTCCGACGACATGGTTCTTCACAACGTGGACCCCCCGAGGTCTCGACCCATTCCCCTGGGACCGACTTCCCATCCCGAGCCAGGTTTTGAGGGCCCTGGAGCTGGTCGACGAGGGACCCCAGAGGCCGGAGAGAGCCAAAAGCTTTCGTATTGGTTGTTTCAATACGTTGGGTCTTTGGGTCCTCGACGAGTTCGCCCGAGCTTGGGTTTGCTGGCGCGTTTTGACGGGCGCCCGTTTTGAATTGTGACGGTCAAGTTTTGGTGGGATGTTTGCAGCGGGATGGCGAGTCAAATTTCAGTTTGGGCCTCGTCCTGGTTCCTCACGGCCCCGCCAGGCCAATCCGAGCCCCCCGAGGCCCAAAACTGACGTTTCCCCGATCGCGGTACGTTCTCCACCTCTGAGTATGTTTTTTTGTTTCTCTCTCTCTCTCTCTCTCTCTCTCTCCCCCTCTCATTTTTGTTTGTGCTTTCTCTCTCTATATATATGTCTATATAAATAAAAATACACATCTATATTTAGACGCACCTGTATGTACCATTTAGCATTTGGACATAACCTTTTCCATTACTTTCTCTTTCTCTCTTTCTCTCTCTCTCTCTCTCTTTCTGAGTCTACGCGTTGTCTCGCTCCTCGAAGGAGAGCATCGCGGCCCTCGCGGAGAAGGTCGAGCGGCTCTGCGCCCGCACGGCGCCCGAGGCCGAGCGGCCCGCGGAGGAGGACGAGGCGCCGCAGACGCCGCGGGCCAGCGAGCGTCTCGCCGCACAGCTCGGGCCGGAGCTGGAGAGGCGGCTTGCCGAGGAGCTGGCGCTGGTGCCCAGATTGGGACCTAGACGTGAGCGCGTCGTAAGATTAAAAAAAACCGGGCTGGAGGTGTTCGGCCGTTTTCGGCCCCTGGGGGCCCTCGCCGGGCCTCGGGACCGTCAAAGAACGAGTCAGGATGAAGAGCCGGTCCCCGGGGAAAGGGTCAGGACTTCCAGGGGCCCCGCATTGAAAACATCGGGATGTCGCACGTCTGGGGGTGCAGTTCCTGGGAGGCTGAGTTCAGTATCGACGCTGGTATATCCGTGGTCGAAGATTGAGCCTATCTGGCCCAATCCCCTTCAGTCCTTTCCGATCTGGCCAAATTCCATTTCGTGTGTCCTAATCTTAATCCCAGGCTTGATTTACCTGGGCTGATTCAGCTGAATGGCACCTAAAGCGGTTTTGATGCCCCTTATTCTTTCTGGCGAAGACCTCCTGGAGGTGCCTCCAGTGCGAGTTGAGACAATGGTACTTGGCTTTGGGGGGAGGGCCTCGTCGCCAGGCTGGGCGCAGCTCGGAACATGTTGCGAGTTTTCAGAGTCGCTCCGCGTGGGGCGCCGTGCTCCCAATTGTCTGCACGAACGAACTGGGTACGGAAATAATGGGTACAATGCCCAACAGCAGGTCCTATTCATTTTGAACAGGACCTGCTGTCAGCGCCGCCGCGGCCTGCGTCCATTTGAGACAGAAGGCCACCTGCCCAACAGCGGCCGCTGTTGGTTTGGGACATTATTTCTTGATAGGCATTGTACCAATTTTTTCCGTGCCCATTTCGGGCGTCCAAACATTGTTCTTCCCGACGCATGCGTGGGACTCCTTTTCGCCGTGCACCGCGTTGTGCCTTCGTGCGAACCTGCCGTGCCGTGGATGGCCCGCCCGCGCGGGCACCTTTGAAAGCCGCAGGTCCGCATTCATGTTCGGGTATAGCCGGGACCCGAGGTAAGGAGACCCAGTTAGTGGTAGGGCCCTGGAGCTCTTCATTGGGCCAGAATCACTGAACCAGGTTTGTCGTAGCTGGTGATTTCTCGGGTGACGGCAGTTCCGGTGAGTGGAACGGGGCGGGGGGGCGCCCCCCAGTACACATCTTTAAACCAGGTCCCACTAAACCCAGTTCTGTCAACGCCCGACATGTGGCGGGCGAAGCACCTTACCTGATATGTTCCACCCTCCCACAAAACTGGTGCGTCATACAACTCGTGCGTTTGGGCCCCTGGAGGGGATCCGGGGGGGTGGGGGTGGGGGTGGGGGGGGAGGGGGGGGGCGATTTTGCGTTGCCGTCGTCGCAACTCGCCCTGATCCGAGGTGCGGCAGCAGGTGCAGGACTCGAGGGACGACAAATCGCAGAAGCAGCAGAGCCTTCTGGAGGTCTGCGAGGATTCCCTGGGTCTGCTCTGGGCCCTCCTGGCGGCGCCTCCGGCGACGCCCCGCGCCAGGCAAGGGGGCCCAGCGCCGATCCAGTAACTCCGCGCAGACTTCCGCACGTGTCTGCTTTTGGTAGCAAATCATGGGAGCCTTGTGTACTTCGTAATTCTGTTTCTAGAGTGCACTCGCGTCGACTAGCGTCTGGTAATCGATGAGATAGTGCCGATTTAGCGTCGATGAGCGTCGATGTAGCGCCGATGAGCGTCAATGTAGGGTCGACGAGCGTCGATTCGCAAGGGCCAACATGAGGGTAGGCACCACCATGAGTATCCATAATATGGAGGGAGGGTGGGTCCTCCTCCTCCACCTCCTCCTCGTCCTCCTCCTCTTCGCCCTCGTCCTCCTCGTCCTCCTCCTCTTCGCCCTCGTCCTCCTCGTCCTCCTCCTCCTTCTCCCCTCCAACTTATGGTGGTGGTGGTGGAAAGCAGGCCCATCACAGGAGGCCCTGGCGCCCAAGGCTGCCCTCGAGGCCTTTGTGCAGGGGCTCGCCGCGGAGATGCGGGAGGCCTTCGAGGCCCTGCGCGGCGAGCTGCAGCTGCAGAGCGCCGAGAGCCAGGCGGGGCTGTCGACGCTGCAGGCGCCAGGAGGGGAAAGACCACACCCAGGCACGAGTAGACTTCAGTCGGGCCCGTCCCTCTACAGGGGGAATATTCAAAAATGGTCTCAACATAGTTCTGGTACCATGTTTTGACTGTATTTGCTTTTTTTTTTGAGCATGTTTCTGGTATTTTTCAGCTTTCGTACAAAATCCCTCTCTAGGGGGACAAGCCCGACCTCAGAGTAAACGTCGGCGCCCAGGAAAACTATAGCAAACGTAGGGGGCAGCGCGGGGCAAGACGCAAGCCCAGAGCATGCGAGACAAAGGTGAGAATCCTGGGCTGTGTCTCCGTTTATTGCAAGGCTGTGGGCGGCGCCCCTCCTCCTGAGGAGGGCTCAGCAGGATGAGAAGGAGTATGAGGAGGAGGAGGAGGAAGAGAAGAGAAGTGATGAAAGTGGAAGAGTTAGGAGGGAGGAGTGAAGAGTGATGATGCTGCTGATGATGATGGAGATGATGATGATGGTGATGGAGATGATGATCATGATGATGACGACGATGATGATGCGGATGGTGATGATGATGATGATGATGATGATGATGATGATGATGATGGTGGTGGTGATGATGGTGATGATGGTGATGATGGTGATGATGATGACGACGATGATGATGATGTTGATGAGACTTGTCCTGCGAACGTGTAGGGGGTGCAGCACAGAGTCCGTGCTATTTCGCTAAAGCCTGTTCCCTACCTAGGCTCTGCCTAGAGGGGTTCTTACCCTAGAGCTTAAAGGTGTTGGGCAGTGCTACCCGCCCCGGGCGGTTCCCCCGGCATCCGCCCCGCGGTTCCCCCAGCCACGTCCCCTTAGCTTAGCGTTGGTTATCTCATCTTAGCTTAGGTTATTACATCTTAGCTTAGCTTAGCTTCCTCTTAGCTCAGGTTTATCTTAGCTTAGCTTACCTTCATCTTAGCTTCGCTGAGCTTTAGCATATCAGAGCACAGCATAGCATAGCATGGCGCAGCACATTATATCATAGCATAGCCCAGCATAACATAGCATAGCGCAGCATAGCATTGCATATCATAGCATGGCATAGCGCAGCTTATCATTATACATCATATCATAGCATGGCTTATCATAGTACAACGCAGCATGACATAGCATATCTTAGCATATCATAGCATAGCACATCATAACACCACATATCATAGCATAGCGCAGCATAGCGCAGCATAGCATCGCATAGCACATCATAGCATAGCGCAGCATATCATGGCATAGCATATCATAGCATAGCATCGCATAGAAACTACAGCTGCTTTCCTAGGGGCTCCAACTTTTAGGTAGGGTTGCGCTGGGGTAGTTTGCGTGCAGGGAGGACCTTACCTTCATACGTCCCACCCTCCCGCAAGTTCCCTCGTGGATGATTGCCTGCGCGTGGTGCACGCTGGACGCCTGGTGGCCTGGGCTGCTGCGCGGCGGCGTCGGCGGGGGCCCTGGAGGTTGAATTGGCTTTGCGCGGGGCGGAGCGGGCGGCACTGTACGCTCGTAGCCTCCCGGGCTGCTTGGAGGACGCTTCGAGGCTGCACGCGGAGGAGGTGACTCCGCTGGCATCGTAACTGCGCGAGGTCCGCGCCCAATAAGACCAGCAGGGCTCGGACGCGGGCCCGTTTTATGTGCATGCGATCGGATTGGTGTCGACGGGCATTCTCGCCCATATCGTCAGCGTCTACAGTCATTGTCGCGTTCGACATGCCGCTGCTGCCACGTCTGCAGTTGTTCAGGTCGGACGGGAGCTCCTCCGAGGCGGCTGAATTCTTCGACGAGTTGCTGCCAGGCCGCGCCGCCGCCTTTCACCATGACGACGACCGCGGCATCTGGCACGAATGGGTGCTGATCTCGCCCGCCGACTCGCAGCAACCTCGCACGAAGTGGACCATCGCGACGCCCGGTGGCGACGTCTATGACGAGGAGATCGCCACAGGCGCCGACGGCGACGGGCCGAACATGGCCTCGCTGACGTTCGGCGCGACGCCTGCTCGCCAGCGGCCTGTTGGGCGCGTGCACCGCTTCCGCAGCTACCCCACGGAGGCCGAGCTGCTGGACATGGTGCGCGCCGCCAGGCGGGAGGCCCGCGCTGCTGGCCTCGACTTCGCGGAACCTCCGCTCTTCGTGCGCCGCGGTGACGCGCTGGGCGGCTCGTCGACGGTCAGCTTCGGCGAGGTCCCTAGCTTCTACCGTCGCCTCGGTCGCACGGGCCCAGGACACCCGCCTGCGGCCGCTAGCGCCGCGCCGCCGCGGGGGCCGCCCCTCCCGCCACCGGCGCTCGCGCCGCCTTGGCTGGAAGACGAGGCCGACGACGGGGAGCCGCTGCCTGCAGACGGCGCCGCCACACCGTTGTCCGGGCCCGTCGGCGCCCGCGTGCCGGCGAGCGCGGAGGTGCCGCCGCCTGGCATAACCTGGATCGCCAGCAAGACGGTGGGCGTCGAGATCCAGCGTGGTGATGAGATCTTGCCGACGACTGGGGACGTGATCTGGGGCGAGAGCGGGCTCCACGGCCAGCCCACTGGTTTCATCGTGTCCATGGAGCTGGTGCCCTCGGCCTCCGCCGCCCATCAGCCAGGTGTGGAGGATGATGATGCACGCCTTTTAGGCCCACTGACAAGGAGCCGCGATGGGCGACGCCATCGTGATTTCCGCGAGTCGGTGAGCCAGATGCGGCAGGAGGCGCTCGACGATTTTCTCTCGTATGGAGAGCGCAGCTACAAGTGGCTGCGCGAGTGCGTCATCGAGCACGGCGGCGCCCTGGACGGCCGTCAGACCAAGTGGGTGAGCGAGAGCGGCTGCGCGAAGGACTCGACGGCGGCCCACTTCCACGACCTCCTACGGCTCTCGATCGAGCTGGCTCAGACCTACGACCAGGTCGACGGGTCGAACTCGGGCTGCGCGGAGGTGGTCGCCCGCACTTGCCAATTGGCGGAGGAGACCATGGGCAGCATGAAGATCGAGGGCGTCGAGCACTACATCGGGCGCTCGAAGCAGAGTGCTCGTCGCGGCGGCGCCAGGACAGGCGAAGCGCGCGACGGGACAGTTGGCCAAGGAGGCCGAGAACCAGAAGCAACGGCGGAAGGCGCGCGCGGAGACGAGCGCCTCCGTTAGCTAGAATGGACGGGGGCGAGCTGGACACAGCAGGCGGGAGGTCGCTCGGCCCGTCCGCCGCTTCGCAAGAGCCAGTTTTGTCGGCGTACCACAGGCCCCTCCGCTGGTGGCGGGATGCTGCCTTTTGCTGTCCCTGCTGCGCCAGTTGCTCCACGACCTCCGCCTGGACTACCCCGTTCGGTCCGGGCTCGCCTTCAACGCGCTCAGTCCCTAAAGGAGCGTATTCGGGACGCCGTGGAGTGCCTCAACCTGCCTGGGGTTTACAACGCGCAGCAGTGCTCCCCAGAGCGCCTCTCTCAGATGTGCGATCTTCTACTTCCACGCGGTCGCCGTCTTTATCGTCAGATGAAGGCACCCTGCTCAGAGCTTTTGGCCGCCCGTGTCTACGCTAAGACGCGTCAAGCGATCTACCGCTGAGGCCGCATGCACCGCGCTTCGTGAGCTGGCCCCAACTTTGGGGCGAGCCTGGCTGGCTTGCTGACCGACTCGGGCCAGCAGATCGATGCTCTCTCCTGGGCCTCAACTACGCCTTGCTGCTCGCCAACGAGTTCCGACTCTGTCGTGGAGAAGGGCGGGGGGGGGCCTTCATCATGCGTGGACCTTGTGCTGGATAAGAACCGCGCGATGTACATGGAGTTTGTGAAATCTGGGATCTCATGAGGATTCTTCGTGGCTGGCATGGCCCGGATAGAGGACGTCGGGGAGTTCTTCGTGGCCGAGAAGGACACTCGGATCAGGGTGGTGCTCGACTGCAGGAAGAGCACCCCGCAGTTTCAGCCTTCCCCACCAGGTAAACACTTCTCGGCCGCTGGCTTTGCGGACCTGGAGGTGCCCGAGGGGGCCCCGCTCGACGTCGCGGGGGTTGACGTCCAGTACGCCATCTATCAGAGCAAGTCACTCGCCTACCTGCGGCCGCTGTTTTGCCTGCCCGCGGTGACCGACGGCGAGCTGGGCATCGGCGGGCCGGGCGGGCGCCGCGCCGCGCCTTGGGCGCGCCTCTGCCGGCAGCTGGCTGCGGCGCCGATGGGCTGGAATTGGGCCCTCTACTTCGCGCAGAAGGCCCGCGAGCGCGCGCGGGCAGCCGCGACGCCCTCGGTCCCGAGCTGCGCGGCGTCGACTTCGCGCCACCGCCGTCGCCGCCGGCGGAGCCGACCCACTCCCTCCACGTCGACGACGCGCTCGTGGATGGGCACTGGTCGGGAGGAGGTGGCGCCCGTCAGGCGTCTGGCCTCCCAGGCCTTGGAGGCCGCTGGGCTCGCCGTTCACGACGAGACCGACGCCGCGGACTCCATGGCGACGCTGGGCGGGCAGCTGGAAGCTGTACATGGGCCTCGGCTACTTGATGCAGCGCCGCCCCAGGGTGACCAGCGGCGACATCGAGCACGTCCTCGGCCACTGCACCTTCGCGGCGCTCTGCCGCCGCGAGAGCCTCAGGTGCTTCAGCGCCGCCTACGCCTTCGCGCAGCAGGGCTACCGGCGCGCTCGGCCACTGCGGGCATCAGCGCGGAAGGAGCTGAAGATCTTCCGCGGGGTCCCCATCACGCTGCGTGCCCAGCAGGATGCCCCCTGGTCGCCACAGGTGATCCTGACCGATGCCTGCGAGCTGGGCACGCCTCAATGATCGCTGAGCGCGAGGCCGAGGACGTCGCCACCGCGGGCCGCTGGCACGAGAGGCGGCGGTTTTGCCGCACCCGCGAGGAGGGCGGCAGTTGGCGGCCGTGCGACAGTGCGGCCAGCATGGCCGAGTCGGTCATGGTCGATGCAGATCCATCGTTCGCACCGTTGAGGGGTGATTCTGGCGCAGATTTTCCTGAGGTGTCTGCGCGCGCCCTCCGCCGCGCCAACTGGAAGTTGTTGCGCCGCGCCCCCCAGCTCAGAAAGGGGCCCATGCATCGCGATGAAGCAAGAGGAGACCTACGCGCCGTCAAGCTGATGCTGTCGGACGCGGATTCGCGGGGGAGGAGGCGCGTGGTTTTGGGTGGCAATCTTGCGCCCGCATTTGCTCTTTCGAAGGGTTGGTGCCGTGATTGTTATTCGCTCAATATTATTCGTCGGGCCGCGGGCGTTCGGATCCACGGGCGACGGGTGCCCGGCGAGCTGATCGGCGCCGATGGCGCTGGCCGCGCCCGCAAGCGCCCTGGCGGACACCGCGTGCTCGCCGCGAACAGGCGAGAGCTCGCTGCGCAGGGCCGTCAGCTGCGACCGCGCCGAGACGCCTGCGGCCACCCGCAAGCTGACGCGGGGGCCCCAGAGCATCGGCCCCCCGCTTCCGCCGCGACCTGCGCGCGCTGTTCCAGCGCCGGCGGCTCGCCTCGCGCGGTCGCGGCGCGCAGCAGCGGGGGCCTCGACGCTGGCGCGAGCCAAGGGCCAAGGGGCCAGCCCAGCACTGCAAGCCCGAGCCGCGGGGCCGCAGCTGAAGCGCTGGGCTGCGCGGCCGTTCCTGCCGAGATTCGCGCCGCCCTGCGCGCCCTCCATCCCGCCGCGCGAAATGCCGAGGTCTGCGCGGCGCCGGCTGGGCGCGGGGGGGCAGGCGCGGGAAACCGCCCGCCAGCTCTCCATCGCGCAGACAACCAGTGTGGGGAAGCGGGGCCGACACCAGTACCGCAACCTGCTGGAGCAATTCCTGGCGCCCAGTACGCTGGGGACGCTGGGCGCGGCTGCCACCATGCTGGATGCCGGCGTGGTGAAGTTCTTCGACGAGCTGTACCTGGCAGGAAAGGTCGCCTCAACTTGCGAGATGTTGATCGCTGCGATCGCCATGCACGTGCCCGACTAACTACCAGAGCGAGGGCCGCCTGGCGCTGCCCCGCGCTCACCGCGCGCTGCGAGGGTGGCGGCTGCTGCGCCCATCGCGGGCTCGCCGCCCGCTGCCCTGGGAAGCCTGCGTGGGCGTCGCGCGGCGCCTCTGGCAGATCATTGGCAAGGCGGAGATGGCCCTCTACTGGTTGCTCATTGTGGACACCCACCTCAGGCCTGGCGAGGCCCATCGCTCAACGAAGGGGCACGCGCTGCCGCGGCAGGCGAAGATGCCCAAGGTGGCGATGCACATCGATCCCGATGACCTCAAGAGGCCGAGCAAAACAGGCGAGATGGACGAGACCGTCGACATCGCCCGGCCGTGGATGGCCTCGCTCGTCGTGAAGCAGAGCCAGGGGAAGCCGACAGACCAGCTCTGGACCTTCACGATGGCGGACGCGAAGAGGGCCTTCGACAGCGCGGCCACCTCCCTCGACCTCAGGGGGCTGCAGCCCGTGCTGTACATATGGCGCGGCACAGCGGCGCCTCGATCGACGGGTTCACGGGGCGGGCTTCGCTGCTGCAGGTCCAGCGCCGCGGCAGGTGGAGGCAACCCGCCTCGGTCCGGCGCGACAAGAAGCGCGGGCTGGTCCAGGCAGTGTGGACGCAGATGGGCACGCAGGGGCGGGAGCACCCCCTGCGCGCGGAGGCCGAGCTGCCCGCGCTGCTGGCCGCCGTTTGACCGGGAGGCTTAGCCTTCTGCCCTCCCGTGCCAAGGCAGGCCTGATCTTTTTTGTATCGAGGTCCTCTCGGGTTCTGAACATGTCTCAGCAGCTTGTGGAAAGAGAGGTTTCTTTGTATTCTCTTTTGATGTGTTGCAAGCCCCACAAGGAGATCTCCTTCGGTCCACTGTCTTGCATTGTGTAATTCGAATGATCAGGAGTGATAAGTGTCTCGAGGTCCTTTTAGGGGTACCCTGCAAAAACTTCTCCATTGCTCGCGGTGGTCACAAGATCATCCGAAGCAGTGCCCATCCCCTTGGCCTTCCCTCGCTCCTCCCCTCCTTGCAAGCCGTGGTTGACGAGGGTAATCGAATACTGCAGGTGTTCATCAGGTTATGTCAACCAAGAATGCGCGTTCCTTTTCAATGGGAGAACCCACAGTCATCCGACATGTGGCAGGGAGACTCCGCAAGTCGTGTTTTACGTTGGTCTGGAGTGCAAGATGTAATCAGTGACTACTGCGGCTGGGGAGCCCCGTGGTGCAAACCGACCAGGTTTCGAGTTTTACTTCTGCCTCGGGCTTCTGACCTTTCAAAGCGTTGTCGCCCCATCCGAGGGATACGCACGTTCCCCGGTCAAAAGCAATACACCAGATCTTCAAGGCCGTGACGGCCTCGGTGTTCACCGCACTGTTCGCGCCGTCGCATATCCCAACGCTCTGTGTTACGCGATGTCCCAAAATTCGTCGATGCCGCTTTTCCGCCCTCACAGTTCAAACCTTTGACGTGCTCCGCTGAACCGATTGTGATCTTTGGACATTCGGTGTCTGGCAAGCTTGTTGGCTTCAGGTGTCTCCGATCGCTGCCGCCGCCGGTTCGTCGCCCTCGATCGGGATTCACACACATGCGTACGACAGATAGCACAGTTCTGAAAATCAAAGACGGGTGAGGAACCTCCGGCTTTTCTTGCGAACGTGCAGGGGGTGCAGCACAGAGTCTCATCTATTTCGCTCAAGCCTCCCGCCCTGTGTCTCTGGTGCTTGGCTTCCCGCCCTTCCTCACGGCGGGCCGCAAGCACAGTCTTGAGCGGCAAGTTTGTTGGTTTCAATTGTTTCCGATCGGTGCCGCCGCCGGCTCGTCGTTCTCGATCGGGGTTCAGACACATGCGGATGACAGATAGTACATCTCTGAAAATGAAGGGCGGGTGGGGACCGTCATGATCATGCTGATGATGATGATGATGAGGAGGAGGAGGAGGAGGAGGATGAGGATGAGGATGATGATGGTGATGGTGCTGGTAGATGATGATGATGATGATGATGATGTTGATGATGATGATGATGATGATGATGATGATGATGATGATGATGATGATGATGATGATGATGGTGATGATGTTGTTGATGATGATGTTTCTGATGATGGCGATGGTAAGGAGGAGGAGGAGGAGGATAATATGAGGAGGAGGAGGAGGAGGAGGAGGAGGAGGAGGAGGAGGAGGAGGAGCGGAGGAGGAGCAGGAGGAGGAGCAGGAGGAGGACCAGGTGCAGATGGAGGGCTACCGCCTGCAGGCGGTGGGCGGCGAGGCCTCCGTCGCAGACCTGCGGGCCGAGCTGGACCGGCGGGCCGGAACCGAGGAGCAGGCCGCGCAGAGCTTCCTGTCGGGCGTCTGCCGCGAGCTCCGCGAGACTCAGACTGATGGACCTGTTTTCCACCACCACCACCATAAGTTGGAGGGGGAGGGGGTCCTCCTCCTCCTCCACCTCCTCCTCCTCCTCCTCCTCCTCGTCCTCCTCCTTCTCCTCCTCCTCCTCCTCCTCTTCGTCCTCCTCCATCCCCCCTCCAACTTATGGTGGTGGTGGTGGAAAGCAGGCCCATCACAGACGTCGCAGATGCGCGCCCTGCTCGACTACGGCGAGAAGGTGAAGGCTCCGAGGGGGCAGAGGTACGCATGCCCAGAGGTCCAGCTTATTGAAACAATCAAGACGGAGGTTCTTCTCCATTTTCGGCCTCTAGGGGCCCTCGCGGGGCCCCGGGACCGTCAACAATCGACTCAGGATGAAAAACCGGTCCTGGGGAATGGGTCGAGAATACGGGGGACCGCGCATTGAACAAATCACGACATCGGATCTCTGGGCACCGCCATACCCTTCGCCCATTTGGCCCTTTTTGGCTGCCTCCTGGGAGACCCTCGTCGCCACCGCTGGATTCGCCTCGAAGGACTTGTCAGAACGCACCTCGGGAGAGGTCCGGGGAGTATCGGTATCGATACTCCTTGGTTCTCCCAAAGGCGTGCGGGATCCAGATGCAGGCGCAGGGCTCCCGCATGGAGGAGATCGAGGCCGCCGTGGGCGAGCTCTCGCGCTGCCTGGCCGATATCGGCTCCCGGCTCCGGGATCTGAAGGAGTCCGTTTCGAGCGGCGGGGAGGACAAGCCAGCTTCCGCCATTCGAAGAAGAAAAGATGCATTCATATACACCTTCTACGGTCCGCGCAGATGTCTTGGATCTGCGCTGGGCCCCGCTGGCGGCGCCTCCAGCGCCTCCGCTGGCGCTCTCCGCGCGCCAGGGAAGGACCTGCAGCGCAAATCCAAGAAGTCCGCGCGGATCGTCGAAGCTTTCTGTTTATGACGTTGTTTCTTCTTCTAGCCATGCTGGGGCTGAGCCTGCAGGCTCTGGAGCAGCTCCTGGCCACCCAGCGCAGCCAGAACGCAGGTGCCGAGTCTGCGCCACTGCCCCCAGCGGACCAGCTCCAGCAGGCCGCGGCGCTGGAGGCGCCCACCGTGGTGGGGTCATCCAGCAGGCGTTCGCCCGCCAGGCGGCCCTCGTCGCCCGCTCAGCAGCCATCCGCCGAGGCCAGCGAGCCGCCGCCCGACGCGTCGGCCGCGGCGGCCCTCTCCGAGGGGCAGACTCAGGCCCCGGAGTCCGCCAAGACGCTGACGCCTCGCGGGACGTCGAGGCTGACTTCTGCGGCGGCCCCGTGCGCAGGCAAGCCGGCGGAGGTGCGCACCCTGATCCAGGATAAAACAGGGCAAGGATCGGGATAAATCGCTCCAGAGCGTTCCGGAGCGCTCTCAGAGCGTTCCGGAACGCTCTGGAGCGGCCGCGGCGCCCAACACATCCTCCAAACCCGCCGATTCTCAGAGATTTCGAGTTATCCCGATCCGATTTCGTCCCGATCTTCGCGTCGTTTTACAGGACTTCGAGGCCGCGGCGGCCGCGACGGCCGCCGCCCGCTCGCGGGCCGCCCCGCGGCACCCCGGCGTCGTCCGCTCCCGCAGCGCCCCGCTGGGGCTCCAGGCCGCGGGCAGGCCCCAGGCCGCTCCCCAGCAGCAGTCCTCCTCCTCCTCCTCCTCCTCCTCCCTCCTCCTCCTCCTCCTCCTCCTCCTCCTCCTCGTCCTCCTCCGCCTTTTCCTCTCCTCTCCTCCTCCTCCTCCTCCTCCTCCTCCTCCTCCTCCTCCTCCTCCTCCTCCTCCAGGCGGCGGTCCAGCAGCCCCTGGCGTGGCAGTGGCCGCAGCCCCCGGGCCGGCTGCTCGCGCGCCCGGCCGCCGCGGCCTGGCAGCCGCTGGCCGCCCCCCGGCAGCCCGTGCAGCGCAGCGGCTCGCCCGTGCAGGCTCGGCCGGCGCCGGCCAGCCCCGCGGCGGTGGCCCCGCCGGCGGCGAGCCCGCTGAGGCAGGCAGTGGGCATGCCCCTGATGGGCACGGGCCCGGCGGCGCCGGGCGCCCACGGCGGGGCGCTGCTGCAGCGGCAGCTGCAGCAGCTGCCGCTGCGCCGCCTCGGAGCCTGAGGTCAGGGGAGGCACCGGCACCGACACCGCTATACCATCCCCTCGTTTCCGCCGTTCGGGGCCTTCTGGGAGGCCCTCGTCGCCACCGCTGGATTCGCTTCGAGGTTCCGGTCAGAACGCAGCCCGGGAGAGGTGCCGGAAGTGGTGGTCTCGGTACTTGTCGGTTTTCCCATGAGGGGGCCTTTGCGTGCGCGCGTGTCTCAATTGGCTGACGAAGGACGGTATCCCGGGCGGGGAAGATGCCCATGTCTTACAGTCGGGGCCCTGAAGAAGGAACCCTTTACGTTGGGGAGGGGCTCCGTGCTCCTTGATTGCTTCACAGTTTGCCTTGGGTTTTGCTTTGGTTTTCGATGGGAAATCGAAGTCCAACGTGTGGATCTAAGGGGCCTCGTTCCTTATTTAGGGTTCCTTGGGTCAACGCTCCGACTGTGCAGGCTCGTGAACCAGGCCCCTGGACCGCGACCCCATGGATCATTACGGGGCGTGTGTTCGCGGACGTCCCCCCCCCTGCGGGCTCGCGCCCCCCAATGCAGACAGGGAAGGCGGGGATGTGGATATGTTCACCGCTCGTGGGATCAGTAGGAGCTCAAGCGTGGGGCCTGGATGGATGGGTTCCTGGGGACAGGAGAGGGCGTCCAGGTTGGATGGAGGTGCAGTGTGCGGCCTCGTCGCCCTGGGGCCCGATGGTTTAGGGCCTCATAGTTTGCAGGGCCGAGGTTTGGAACATGTCGCTCCCATCCTACTTACAGACCGCATCCCAGAAATAAATTCGAGCACCCAGAAAAGTGTCGAAACAGTGTCGCACGAGTGTCTCCCAGGCCCCGACACGTGAAAACCCTCGAGCTTTTGGGCACTTGTCTGGTGCTCGAAATTATTTCTGGTGATCGGGGCTAAAGTAGGTTGGAACATCATAAGGTTTGGAGTGAGAATCGCCATCGTGGAGGGGCGCCAGTCCCAGGGCAAAAGGGGGAGTTTATATGCCCCTGCGTTCCGCCACGTAGGCCCTGAAAGCCTCCCAGCCGCCCCGGGACAGGCGTCTCCCAGGAGGGATGAGTGTTGTGTGTGTGTTACCATCTTTCGCCCGCTATACCTCCAAGTCTCTGGTGACCGTCGAGGGGGCACTCTGCTAGATTGAGCTGTTCAGGGCAGCCGTGCTCGCCAGCTTGATTTCAGCAAGCTAATGGCTAATGAGGGTAGAGCGTGGACCTGACACCGTTCGAGAAAGTGTGGGGTGCTGAGACAAATCGAAGGCCTTCTGATGTCGTCGTCGCCGACGACGACAACGGCGACGACGACGACGGCGGCGGCTTTCCCTTGGGCTCACAGAGGTCGAACAACATCCAACAGCCTCGATTCCCGAACATCGGTCCTCGACATCTCAGCAGCGACGAAGACGACGAATCCCGAAGACTACCATCTTGCGAACAGAATTATGATCTCAAAGGAGCTGGTGTGAGTGTCAGTTGTCTGTTCCCCTTCCTCGTACCCGCCCGCATTCTAAGTCTCTGCAACAAGCCCCCTTTGGAATGAGCTTGTGTCAGGAGGGGGAACAAAAACACACAGACACAATGCATCGACGGCTCCTGGGAAAATATGGGGAAATGTGGGAAGTGGGGGGAGGGGGAAGACGAACACCCAGAATCTTTGAATAGATGGGGAAACCTGGGAAGTGTGTGTGTATTTGTGTGTTTGCGTGTGTCCCAGGGCCCCTTTACCCGGCCGGACGGAAAGGGGGGATAGGGAAAGGGGGGGGTACGAAATCTGCTGCATGCAGCTGGCCTCGGCCCCACCGAGGGGCCCATTCCTCGATACATGGCCGCCTCCTGGCGCCGGGAGGCGCCAGGAGAATCAGCTCCGTGAGTTGATTCTCAAGCCCCCCCTTTGCTATATCCCCCTTTCGCCCAGCCCGACCATAGGCCTACTAAAGAATGGTCTAAGAACCTGGTTCCGCACGAAGTTCTTGGAACATTTCTGGCTGGGACTGTCTTGTTTCAACTTATCGGGATAGCGTTCTGAGAACATCTTTAGTTCTTAGAACATGTCAGGGTTCTAAGAACATATCGTGGTAGGCCAAGGGGAATGCCCCCCTTTCGCCCAGCCCGACTTTCGTCGCGCTTCTGCTCCAGCGCCCGCTTCGGCACAGCCCGAGGAGAACTTCGCGCTCCGCGGGCCCCCCCCCTCCCCTGCCCCGCGCGCCGCCTCCTCCCCTGCCCCGCGGCCTTCCCTCCTCCCCCGTTGTGCCTTCCGCTCCCTCCCCGCGGCCGCCCTCTCTTCCGTCCTCCCCTGTCGTCGTCTCCTCCCTCCTCCCTCCACCCTCCCCCCCTCCCTCCCCCATCCTCACTCCCCCCACTCCCCCGCCTCCCTCCTTCCTCCTTCCTCCCTCCCCCTTCCTCCCTTTCCCTCGTCTCCTCTCCCCTCCCTCCGACCTCCCCCCTCCTCCCTCCTCCCTCCCCCTTCCGCCTTCCTCCCTCCCGCCTCCCCCTCCCCCCATCCTCGCTCCCCTCTCCTCCCTCCCCCCTCCTGTCTCCCTCCTCCCTCCCCCCTCGCCTTTTTTTGCATGGTGGTCACTTCGCTACAACGGTGCCCCCGTCTAGTCAGATTCATCGGCCAGCGCAGCCGACCCCTGCCTAGCCGCCGACGCACAGCAGATTGTGCCCTCATTGGCATCGTTGCGATTCATTGCGGCCCTACTGCAAATCGGTTCCGAGACGCCGCTGCTCAAAATGTGTCCAGGTAGAAATCATCTGCGGCGAGGGAAGGGGGGGAAGTGAAAAGGAGAAGCCCTTCTCGGAAGGCGGCGGGACTTCTCAGAAGCCTTCGCGCCTTCGGAGAAGTTTCTTGTGCCGTCGGGGGAGGCCTTGAACACTTTCTCAGAATGCTCCGCGACTTCCGAGCCCTCTGAGAAGGCGCGCCCCTTCTCACTTCCCCCCTCGCTCGCCGCCGAAATCAAATCCGATGCAGATGTTCAGTTCTTGGGAGGAGTGTGGTGCGCCCTGTGTGTGCTCCACGCCGCCACGTTCCTCTTGCGAACTGTCGCGTCCGCGGGCACCTCTGAAGGCACAGCCTGCACGACGCAGGTGCGACTCATGGGATCCTGCATTTCGTCAGCAGTGCAATCAGGAGGGGAAAACCACACACACACAATTAATCGTCGATTCCCCGGAAAATATGCGAGAATATGGACATTTTGTGGGGAGACAGAAACCCAGAACATATACGAAAATATGGGGAATTCTGACAGTTGTGTGTGTGTGTACTTCTTCGCGTGTCCCAGGGCCCCTTCAAAAATGGGCACCCCCTTTGGGGATCCGCGGCGCGAGCCCTGCAGAGCTCTGCGCCGGGCGGCCGCGGGCACGAGCTCAGGAGGGTCAGCCGCTGCAGCGTCAGCGCGAGCCACAGCGAGCTCGGCGCTGCAGGCGAGAGCCTCGGTGGTCTCTGCGACACAGGGCACGAGGACATCTGCGAGGAGTCTGCGTACAGTGCCGTTTTTAATACATGCTCCGCGTGCGGATCATGTATCAAACTGCGTGGATGTAGTAAGAAAAACAATGATGAGTTCATGCATAAAATTGTTCATACATTGGTCATGTATAAAACCTCATACATTTTAAAACCCTATTATAAAACAAACCTGCCCTGTAGGCTGGCTCGGCGAACTGGGTGTCATGCCTGAATGAGACGGTGCATGTGGCCAGGGCGTGCCCGAATACAGCACGAGGAAGTATCGAGCTGGAGCTGGCGTTGTTGCAAGTGGGCCTTCGCCAACCCAAGCGGACTGCGAGGGAGTCTCGGGCGAGAGCGCCATCCCCGAGTGTGAGAACGCGTCTGGCCAGGACGCGTGGGAGCAGATTTTGGGTAGGTGTATCTCTCAAGCTCTCCGCCGCCTCTTGCGATGTGCGTTGCGACCAGGAAGACGGCAAAGCCACAGGAAAGCGCGGCATTGACAGTGTATTTCCGCACACGTGACACATGTTAACGAACAGGAACACAGCAAAGCCCTAGGCGCATCAAGAAACCATATGCTTTTCGTCAGGGTATCCTGGGTTTCTTCGCTCCTCGCGCTGCGAGGTGACTTCCCGCAGCCGTTGAAGGAGCTGCTACGTTCAGCGTGCTCCAGGTTTCCCCCCAGGTGCACCTCGTGCACGGGTTCTCAGGGTTGAGTTTCCTGCGAGGGTTTCTTGCGGCCGCGCCCGCAGAGTACACTGCGAGAAAGGATCTGGCGGGAGCAGGTGTCGTCGCAGCTGGGCTTTCGCTACTCTCGGGCGATGGCGCCATTCCTGAGTGTGGGAACACCTGCAGCCAGAGCGCGTGGGAGTTCACTGCGAGAATGTATGATGTGGGAGCAGGTGTCGTCGCAGCAAGGCTTTCACCAGCCGCAGTACGCTGCGAGGAAAACTCGGGCGAGAGCACCGCCTCTGGGGGCAAGAACTCATCGGGCCAGGGCGCGTGGGAGTATGATTATGTCGTGCGTGTCCCCTTACAGGGGGATTTTGAACGACAAATAAAACATACCCCGAAATTGCCCCAAACATGTCAAAACATACTACAAAAATAGTCCCCAGCCTATTGTCGGATTATTTTTGTATTATGTTTGGTGTATTTTTATTTTTCGTCGAAAATCCCCCTGTAGGGGGACAGGCCCGACTTAAGAGTACGGTGCGAGGAAGTATCAGGCAGGAGCCAGCGCTGTGAAGGTGGGCTTTCACCAACCCAGCTACATTGCGAGGACGTACTTCATGAGAGTGGGGGCGCCTCTGGCCAAGGCAAGTGCGAGTATATTCCTGGAAGGTATCGAAGCGGGGCCGTTGTCGCCGCAGTTGGGCCGTCACCAACTTGATTGAATTGAACGACAGCCTGGAGCAAAAGTGCCGCTCCTGAGATTTGGGGGCCTCTCTGGCCAGGACGTTTCAGAAGAAGTTTTGAGGAAGTATTGAGCGGGAGCCTCTGATGTCGCAGTTGGGACTTCAAGGACCGGGATTGGAAATAAAGTTTGCGCTTGAGCGGAATCTTCGCTTTCAAAGAAATGTAGCGCGGATATCACAGGAAAATTGGGGGTTGTCTTATTTAGAAGGGGATCTGATGTGAGCTGCCTGGGAAGGTTCTAGGATCCCTGGGCAAAAGGCCACCCTTTGATGGCTGGCTTGGAGTGTCTGAACTTGCTCTTCTAGGAAGGTTTTGAGCCCGACCCTTCTTGTCTGTGAAAGCGGGAGTAGCCGGCGCCGAGGCGAGAGCGCTCAGAACCGCCTCTATTGAGTTCCCAGAGCTCTTACCTTGAAGTGAGTGTTCGACGAAAGCGACGACGGTGGCGGTGGCGGTGGTGGCGGCGGCGGCGAGGGAGAGGGAACACAGAAAAACGTGTTCAAGCGTCGTCGGAGGCGAAAGCCGAAGACATTCGAATCTCGCCAGTTGCAGCCTGCAGTTGCCCAAAACCGGCGTAGAAACCGAATGAAACCCCCGTTGCACCAGGTCGAGTCGCAAACTGCCCTGTCTCTGCTCTGGAGGGGGGCTGCGACCGCAATGTGTGCGGGCCTGCTCCCGCCGAGCCTGGTCGTGGATCGTTTTCGTTGCACGGCGTTGACCTGAAAGGGTGCCCCTGTTTACCACCTTGGAGTTCGTATCGGGTGTTCGTAGAGGGGGGGGGGTTCTCCCAAGGTGGGGTTAGACAACGAACCTCGCTGGATGCTCGCAATTCCTTCCTCCCAGGGCCCTATAGAACGGCTTTCCTTCATCTCTACCTCTGCCCATACCCCACCTCCACGTCCTTCCGATAGCAGCCGCCTTGCCTCTTCGACCGACTGGCGCGATCGCCGTCTCAACGACAAAGCGTGTTTTGCCGAAGGGGGGCGTGCACCCCCGACACCGTCGAAGTCCCTGCAAGATCGCCGGGATATCTCCGAAGATCGTCGAAGAACCGCATGCACTTAGGAGGAGGAGGAGGAAAAGGAGGAGGAAGAGGGGGGGAAAGAGGAGAAGGGGGAAGGAGGGGGAGGAGGAGGGCCGAGGAGGGGGAGGAGGAGGGAGGAGGGAGGAGGGGGAGGAGGAGGGAGGAGGGAGGGGAGGAGGGAGGAGGGAGGGAGGAGGAGGAGGAGGAGGAGGAGGAGGAGGAGGAACCCCAAACCGTCGTGTATCGTCCAGGATCGCGCCCGCCGCCGCCGGTAGAAGCACACTCTGGTGCCCGCCTCACGGGCACCCGGCCGCCCCCCCTCCCAGGGCTGCCGCCGGCACCCCTCGGGTCGATCACGGCGCGGCCGCCGTTCCTTCCTCCTCCTCCTCCTCCTCCTCCTCCTCCTCCGTAGCCATTTTGGCTCAAGGTTTTGTGTTTCCCAGGGAAACAAGTGGATACCGCTAGTCCGCGGCTAGACCCCAGTCTTTCTCATCGCACCGCTGAGTGAGCCGCCCCAGGCGACGCAGCTTTCTGTTCGACCCACGGCGCAGGGATGGCGCCCAGCCCGTGGCACACGGAGGCCAAAGCAGATTGGATGTGCAACGTTTGCACTTTTCGTCGCACTGGCCTCCCCCTCATCAAGTATGGCAGCAACGAGAAGTGCTTCAAGTGTAAGCTCCACAAGGGCGTGTGCTTCAAGCAGGTCGTGCCCGACGACGCCCCGAACCGCAGCACCAAGCGCAAGCCTCCTGGGGGCGAGCCATCGGCAGCTGGGATGGCCAAGCTTGAGAAGAGATTGCAGTCCCTCGAAGCAGAGAACCAGTGCCTTCGGGCGCCACAAGACGGAGCGGCGGCTGCGGATGAGACTAATGGTGCTGATGAGCTGCGTGAAGAAATCGATGGTCTGGCCAAGCATGTGCAGTGGCTGGGGTCCGTCAAGCTGCCCTGGGCTGCTCAACCTCTCCTAGCGGCACGAGAGCAGTTGGAGGCAGCCCGTCGGAAGCTATATGACACTAAGCCCCTACCGGCGAAGCTTACGGCGCTTTCGAGAAGAGCTGAGCAAGCCCGTCAGCGTCTGCAGAAGGCCGAGCAGGACAAGCTCGCAGCGGACAAAGCCCTGGCAGCCGCACAGCTTGCAGCCACGTCGGCGGCGAATGTCGTCGAGGAGCGCAAAAAAACTGTGGAAGATCTGGAGGAAGACGTCAGGGCTTTGTCTTCGCAGCCTGCCCCGCAGCCGATGGCCGTCGACCTCACGGGGCCAGAGTTCCACATCTGCGAGGAGAAGTTGCTGGCCTGCTTGGGAGCCATGGAGGGGGTTTCGGATGCCAGCAAGTTGGCGCCCAAGCTGGTCGAGGCGCTCAAGTCTCGGGCTGCGGAGCTTCTGGAGGAACCGTCTGAGAAGAAGACGAAGCGTGAGACGTCCCAGCCGCCCTCGCAGGAGGGGGGCTCACGCCCCACAGCCGAGTGAATGGAAGTTCGCAGAGTTGGATGTGGAACAGCTACGCCAGGACGTGGCTGACTTCGTGGCGGAGAATGCGGAGGAGCCCACCTTGCGTGAGAAGGCCATGCAGTTGGCGGCAGGTGGCTACAGGCCGCTACGGCTACATCATCCCTACGGATTGCCCCCGCATGCTGGACCTCGGCATGTTCGGGGGCAACAATATGGTTCATAGTCTTTGGGAAGCTGAAGGACGCAGCGCCGCTCTCCCCCATGTACGTGGTTTCCTGGGCAACTGGAGAAGTGCGGGCCCGTGCTGGGGTCCAGGTTTCCCTTCGTCGCTTTTGCTCGACCAAGTTCCTCAAAACGTCGAGTCAGGACTAAAGCCTCACGGTGCCATGGCCCCGCTCCCTGCCGTTACGTATGGTGGTGCAAGTTTTCCTGGGTATTCGGGGTTACGGCTGCGCAGCTACCACCAGCAGGACATGGAGACCATCGGCGCCGCTCCCCCTTCCTCCTGTGGGGTGTTGGGAGACGAGTCGTCTGCACCGCGGTCGTCCCCGACCTCGATTTCGGCTCAGGGCGCTGCTCGGACACTTCGGTGGGCAGCAGATTCCGAGGCCCCTTCGACACGCACGCACCAGTCCGATTTCACGTTCGTGACGTACGACGGGAATGCGTGGGCTACCACTCAGGCTTTTCTGGAGTGGCTGGTGCTCGACAAGTGCATGCAGCCCGATGTGCTACATGTCCAAGAACACCGACCCGGAGGTGGAGATAAATTAAAGAGTGCTCAGAGCTGGGCACATGCTCGTGGATATCGCTTCCTCGCCAATGGCTGCCACGTCACTGGAGGCACGGCGACTGCCACCTCGAGCGGCGTCGGCATCCCGAGCCTGCACAGTATACCGAGCGTCCCCTATCAGCCGACTGGGGTGCACGCCAAGTCGCGCATGTTTTTTTTGCGTGGGGGGGGGCTTTTTTTTGTGCCTGCGGCGTCACCAGCGTGGGCCAGTCAGGCACCCGCGGGCTTCTTGCGGCATTAGTTCAGATGTTGCGGGGGTCGTGTCTCCCGTTTGTTGTTGCAGGTGGTTGGAATGTCGAGTCTGGGTGTTTCGGTCGTGATACCTTTCTTCGAGCTGGCTCCCTTGGTCTCTTTCGCGCTGAGATCGTCCACGGCGGGGGGCCAACCTGCAACGACCCGCGCTGCGACTGCCACATCGCCAGCGACATCGCGCCCCCCTTCATCAGGAGCGCGGGTGTGATCGAGGACGCTCCTGTGTGTCACCGCAGGGCTGTCGCGCTGAGGCTGGCAGGGCTCGGCGGTGCAAATTTTGTTTATCGTAGAGTGCAGCAGGAGAAGTTTCTGCTGCCCTCCTCAGGGCAACCTTCTGTTCCTGGCGGCGGTTCGACTTGGCCAGGTTTTGAGCTGGAAGGAAATGAATCGCTTGACAGCCTTGCTCTCAGGTGGTATTCTTCGGCCGAACTGTACCTTGGCCTCTTTCTGGCTATCCCCGTCGCCGAGAGACCGAGATTTTGCGGTCGCGCGGCTGGGCGCAGACTCGAAAAAAGTTCCCGTGGCCTGTGAATGGAGAACGAGCCTCCGCAGGAAGGCTAGCCCCACCACCCAGCGTTGGCTCTCCGCCAGGCGCCTCACTATGCAATTGCTGAGGGCGGAAGGCAAGGACTCCGAACCCCAGCTAGCACAGCGAGCCAGCGCTGTGCGCATGCTTACTGAATATTCGGGCGCCTGGGGCGGTCTGGAGTGGGAGGGGGGAGACGGTGTCACTGTGAATTCGCTCGGGGTCTTTTGGTCAGGCCTGAGAGATCCTGTCAAGCGGGCCCATGTCTGTCAATGCCTCCAGGGCCAGGTGCTGACGCAGATTGCAGCTGATGCAGCCGCCGCCAGGCAGAGCTGGAAGGGATATTCGGAGCTGGCGTTCGCCAATGGGGCCAGCCTGGCTCACCGTTTTTTCGAAAGGCCCCAAGGGGGCCACGGCCGCGGGCCTCGCCCAGGGATCACTTGTTGTTGGGCACGAAGCCTTGCAGGAAATGTTGAAAGACTGGTCTGGTCTTTGGGTCGTGCCATCCAGGTCTGATGAGCCCCGCCCTCTGGTCTGGGATGCATCCCATGCCGAGCCTCTGCCTCGGTTCACGGATCACGATGTGAAGGCGGCTCTCAGCTCTTTTAAGAGCAAGGCGGCATTGGACTGGTATGGTTTCCATCCGTGGTGGGTTGATCGATTGCCTCCCGTCCTTGTTTCGGCCTCCTACCATAACTCGACGCCCCGCGAGATCTGCGCCAATGGGGCGATTGTCGCAGGATGTTCGTGCGCCACAGGACTAGCCAAGCTCATGGCGGTGACGGTCCTTCGGCATGTAGGGGCTCGATGCAGCTCCCTCAGAATCAAAAGCTTGATAACTGATGTAAGTTTGCACTCGGTCGGGGGCCTGCAGACGGTCGCTGGGGAGCTCAGTTTCGCGTTCAAAGAGACGGTGGGCATACTTCAGGCTCGGGGTTTGCCGCTGTCTTGGGGCAAGATGGGATTTCTGTGCAATGACGCTGGGGCCTTCAGCCTGATCGAGGACGAAGTGGCTGATTCATGGCCTACTGGAGTTCCCTTCCCAGGTCGGGGTTGATTTCACAGAGGCCTTGGGGGAGATGCCGCTGATGGGCGTTATAGGCGCATGGGCACACAGCTCTCTCGCGTAAGGGACGCCGTGACTCAAGGGGACAGGCTTCTGGCGCTCAAAAGGTTGGGAAGGCAACGCTCGGCGGTCCACCGCTCTGGGGTCCTCGCGAAGGCTCCATGGGGATGATCTATCGCTGGGGTACCCAACAGCAGACTCCAGCAGCTCAGGGTGTCTTTTCTCAACGCGGGTGCTCGGTTCAAGCCTGGTGCCTCAGTGGGCCTGTCTCTTATGTGTGCTGAGAGCGGTTGGAACAACGACCCCTTGGCCATCGCCGCGTCAGATGCCATCCACACTTGCATTGTCATCATGTCCACTGGGGCGGTTACTACATCTTTGGTTCCGGCCTTGGCGACCGCGGAGCCCCGATCTTGGACGACCCCCAGGCATGGCTGAAGTGCAAGAACCCCATTGCGGCGCTCATGATCAGCCTGCTCAGGATCTGTTGGAAGTTGCCGGGCCCGTTTACGTTACTTGACGACGAAGGTCGCTAATGGGACCTCAAGTTCTATTCGGCCAGTTGGATCGCGCATATAGTCAAGCTGGGGGCTAGACGTCAGATCGGCCGTGATGCGCTGACCACGTTGCAAGGAGCTGGCACCACCAGGACAGGACCCATCGCCTGGCAGTCGATCTCGGAGGCGCTGCACGGCAAGCGCCTCGCGCCCCATCAGAGGCACTCGCTTCGGGGTGTGATCACTGGAGGTCATTGGACACAAGTTCGGATTGCACGAGCCCTCGCAGACCACTCCTCGCTCTGTACCAGATGCCAGGCAATGGCATCCTGTTTCATCGTTTCTTTGGGTGTGACGCCTTTTCCTTCTTCCACGCCCAGGGCAGGTTTTTTCATGGTGCAGGTCGAGCCAGCCAATATGACATGATTGATGTGGACCGACGAGGTGTGACGTCTGTGGACGGTGGCTATGTCTACGTAGATGGAAGTGCGCGATCAGTTCGTGTGCCTGAGCTGCGGTCCGTTGGTTGGGCCGTCACGGTCTACGATGCAGGCAGGCGCCGATCAGCTCGATATTATGGTGTTGTTCCTCGCCGTGAAGGGCCAAGTCAAGTGGCTCGTGACGGAAAGGACTATGCTATCATGAAGGCAAGCGAGCTGGTCATGGGCTCGCACCAGGTGAAGTCCGATTGCAAGGGCTCGGCCGGGCGTCGCCACAGGCTGGCGGCAGCGTGTGGGCCAGGCAATCTAAGAGCGCATATGTGGAAGAGGGCGGCGATGAATTACGATTTCTGCAAGGCACCTGTGTCTCATGTGAAGGCACACGCCAGCGTGGAGGGCGTCAGGGACGGCGTCATCAGTCTTGTCGATCGCGCTGGGAACGCCGAGGTCGACGAGTTGGCCAAGGCAGGGGCATCTTTCCATGCAGCTTCGGAGGCTCAGGAGAAGCTTGTCCGTGGCGCGACGCGCCTTCACACGATGCTGCTGCTGTGCGTCGCCCAGTTTGAGGTCTGGTTCCACGAGCAGGGCGGCGATTTCAATGATCACCTCTTCCCCGACCCCGAGGAGGACGACTTGGCCACGCCGCAGCAACAGGCGGCGGCGAGGGAACCCCTCTTGCCCTGGCCTTGGCAGGTCCAGAAACATGCCCTGCTGGAGTACCCCGTGGTCGATCACGATCGTTCGCTTATTTTCTGTACCAGTTGTTGCAAGTACTCGGACACATGCAGTCTCAACCACAGAGGGCTGGACCAAGTGTGCTGCGGCAGAGAAGGAGGCAGCGGAAGGATTGCTGAGAACACCAGGCACTTCAGCAATCTCCGACATCCTCAGTCGTTGCACAAAGATATTGCTTTGGTGGCTGCTCGTCGGCCCTCGACCAGGGCCAGAGCCCTGGCCTGCAAGCCCAAATGTTGGAGGGACCCGCTCAAGGATGCGCCTAGGGATGTCTTCAGACCAAAAGGCCGAGTACGTGCTGAACCCCAACGATATTTGGAAACAAGTTCGGTTCTCAAGGGCCATGGTCTATTATACCCTGAAGCTTTGGAGTTGGGAGCTCCGCGCGAGTCGGACAGCGATGATGACGTGGACCCTGACATGGTTTAGTGGTCGGGCCGACGCTTCCCTGCCATCGGCGGCCAGGCCTCAATGTTCTTGGCTGGGTAGTCGAAGGCCAGACTGTCAGATTGGATTGGGCCCCAAGGGCCAATCTGGCCTGGCCAAACTGGAGGATTGGGGTTATTCGCCAGACTGGATTCGCGTTGGCTCCCTCGTCATATTGTCCCCGTTTGCCAGATTGGGCCTGCCAGATTGGCGCCAGATTGGCTTCGACTACCCAGCTTGGCATTTGGGCCATGCACCCTTGGCAGGGACATTATGCTCCCACCTTCGGCGGCCAGCCCTGAATGTTCTGGCCCTCGGGGCTTGCACCTTGGGTGGGAGTTGGGTCGGTCTGGCTGCTCTCTTTTCATTTCTTTGTGCTGAGGGCAGTCCGTGGTGGCTGCCTGCACTTGTTCAGTTTCAGTTTCCCCGAGGACGTTGTCGACGACGGGCGGGGCGGCCTCCTGCTGCGGAAGCCGTTCTTTCGGGAGTTCGGCACCGTGCTGAACCTCAGGCGCTTTGTGCGCCCGCTGGGCCTCGAGGGCTGCTGCCTCGAGCAATCGAGCACGGGCCTGGCGCGGGCTCCGTGCTTCCTGGCGGGTGCGCGGCCCGCTTCTCCCTGGGCCCGCGCGGGCTGGCCCCGCGGCCTCGGCGGGTGCAAGGCGGTTCCTGGCCCTTTGGGCTCCGTCCTTGCAGCAGACTGCGGCCTCGGGGTCGGTCTTTGCTGACCTTCGGCCCGCCATCCAAACGCCTCTGGGCTTCTGCTCGCTCGCTCGCTCCTCCTCTTTCCTTCTCGCCCCCCCCCCCCCCCCCTCCTCAGCCCCCGAGGCGCAGACCTTTTTTTTTTCGCGGGGCAATCGGGGCCCCCAGGCTTCTCCCTGAACTGCCGCGACACCCTCCAAGGTGTTAACCTCGGGCGGCCATGTAGAGACGCTGATGCGCATGGAAAACCAATTTCCATGCGTCCAGCAGGCCGTTGGGCAGATGCAGCACGCCATTTCAAGAATTGCGGTATTGTGGGCTTAGCAGGCACACAGGTGGCTACTGATACTCCTTGCGCTCAGGATCGCATTGGTCGACTTCTTCGGTTCCAATGGGGTCGCAGCGGAGGGGGCGCTGGTAGGCTTGCGGGAGTGACGCTGCTCGCGAGTGACAAGTTTTTCTCGCCCAAGCATGTTAGACGCATGTGGAGGTTGTCTGGTGATCTTGTGGGTCGCATCGGCGCAGTTCGATACAAGTCAGAATTCCCGGACGCTACCATCATAGTGGCATATGCCCCTGTGGAACCACCGGGGGGCAGAGGTCGTGCTAGTGCTGTCAAGTTCTGCAAGAAGTTCTGGGGCGCGCTGAAGGGGACTCTGCACGAGCTTCCTGCGCGCACGGTGCCCGTCATGCTGTTGGACGCTAGCGCTAGGGTTGGCAGTGAGTTGAGTGTGGCGCTGGGGACACACAGTGCCGATCAGGAAAATGCCGGCGGAGTCTACTTCAGGGAGACGCTGGAGGAACACCACCTGCGCGCGGTGAACACCTTTTTCTGAATGCGGCCCAACATACGATCATGGGGATGGAATTTCAGAGGCCAGAGTTGGTCACATTTGCAGTACGACAGATGTGGGAGGGCGTGCTACTGCATGCAGAGTTTAGGAACGTGCGGGAGAGGCGCTTCAGCTCATCAGCGCGAGGAGGTAGAGATCATTATCCTGTTGTGGCAGTTCTACAGATGGGGCTTTTCTTTCCTCAGAGGAGCAAGAAGTATCGATATTGCTAGTTTTCAAGATTTTCAGATTTTCCCGTTCTTCCGCGCTGGCTCCAGGGACGACTGGTCGAGCGCATTCCGTCGCGCAGGTTATTTGCATGATGTGCGCGGTGCATTATTCGCGCATCGGAGCGCCCTCGGAGATTCCAAGCTGCATTATGCTTTGCTCTTGGGGAGTCCGTGAGTTGCAGCTGCCGCGGCGCGACTTCCGAGGTGGCCCCTTCGAGCGCTGTTTGCGGGCGCAGGGCGCGGCGCGCGCTGCGCCCAATCGCGCGCCGCGCGGCGCGTGAATCAGCCGGCCGCGCACGCCGGGCCGCCCGGAAATTATTTCCGGATTGTAGAATGTTTCGATGAAAGCCTCCGGTTTTTTGGCGCAAGCGGCTTTGCAAATTTTAAAAACGAGTCCGGCAATGTTTAAATGACAGTTTTTGGGGGAAAGAACGCCCCCGCCGCGCAGGACATCTGAAGGATTCTGAATTCCGGAATTTGAAATGGACCCCGTTTTTTTAATTAAAAAATCGATCCTGGAATTTGTTTAAATCGATGCTGGGATTTTTTCAAAAAAACTAGGCCAGACTTTTTCAGAAGCGCGCCCAGGTTTTTCGAATCTACCCCCGGAGAATTAGCCAGAGTCGCGCGTGATTTGGCTCACCAGGTTTTTGCGAATCCGCCGAGGCGCGCAGTGCGCGGCGGCGCGCGACAGGGCGGCGCGCCACCGTCCCCCCCCGCGCTCGGCAACGAAAAGGGGGACCAGCGAGTGCCACATAGCCCCCTGCGGGCCACTACTCGACTGCGAATGGGCGACCGACCAGCGGCGCCAGGCAGAGTAAACAATACTCGTCGCATAGTCAACCCCTTGCACCAGCTGTTTAAAATCCCGGCATCCCCGGAACGTATGAATAGCACGTTGTGTCAATAGATTCTTCTCGTCCTATTTCCAGCGATTGAGGATCGTGCAAGGTGGGGCCACGCCAAACTGGGTCGGGCCATTCTGTTTGGAGAAGATAGGCATGCCTTCTAGACTGAGGTAAATCGCGCTGTCGGCCAGGTGGCATTCGACGCGGAGACGCTAACGAGGCAGAGTGCGGACTCGATATACCTGGAGTTCCACAGCGCAGTGATGCCAGTAGCCGGGTCTTTTTTCCTTGCGAAGCACCAGAAATTGTGAGGCCGCAAGACACGACGGATGCTCTGCTGCTGCGCACCGGGCGAAGGCTGCAATTGAGGGCCTTCCTTTCTCGTCCTGTTCCGTCGCTTCCCTCTCCCTTCCCCCCGTGTTTCGACCTCTGCGCGCTCGCTTGTGTTTGCAAGCAATACCGTGAGTGTTTCCGATATGTGTGAGCTTGCATTGCATGGGACTTTGTGTAGGCGTGCCGACCGCGCTGCGAGACACTTCGCGCGACGTGACTGAAACCGTGATTTCGGGCCGCGGGTGTCTGAGCTTGAAGATTTCTTGGACGGGCGGTCTTTCGCGGACTCTAGGGGATTGTCTCGTGCGCTGAGTGGGAAGGCGCTCGGACCCTAGCTGCGCCTGCACTCGACCCCCAGCATGTATTTTGATTGCGAGGCTTGGTCTGACTTCCTGTCGAGGCCAGGGGGGGGAGGGGGATCTTCCGATGGTACTCCAAAGTACGACGCAGCGCTAGACGAACGTCTCACTCGCGAGCCGCGAGAGGGCGACTTGCAAGATGCCACTGCCGCCGCGAAAGAGGTGGACGGACAAATCTCGGGGTTCTTCAGACATGCTAAGCTGCGCCGTGCACTTCCGTCGTGGTCCATGCCTGCTGGCGCATGGCGCATGTTGTTATGCCCTAAGGAGGTTAGGACACACGCGAGAGCAGGTCTAAGTGCGGAGACAGAGAGCTGGGATTTGCTGGCGATTAGGCAGCGTCTGTTCGCAATTTTAGTAGCTGTGACATGTCATGTAGTAGCACCACTGATTTGGCGTTGCAGTCCTGCGCTCGCTCTCAGCAATGCGAACGGGAAAGTTGACTGCGCAGGGCTTCGCCTGGTTCATACTTTAGATCCATCTGGGAAGGCATTCTACAAGTACCTTTGGAACGCGAACCCGGTGTTGCGGCACGAAGCCTCTAGGCACTATGCGCGGGGGAACCTTGAGAATCGGCGGGGGGAGGAGCTTTCCTAGTTCAAAGCCCTGCGTAAGAACGTTTGGGAGACGAGGGTTTAGGTTTCCACGCGGGTGCTTGCGACGCGACGAACGCTTTCCACAGCGCATCGCACGACGCGCGGGTGATGTTTACCCGCCAGCACGCGGGCGGGTTTAAGCTCTGTTCGGCTGATAGCTTGCTTGCACTCTCGCGCCCACCTGCGCGGCAACCCAGCTTCTGAAATCTCGCGGCGCGCGCAGAAAGATCGGCGGGGACATCGGCCCTTGAAGGGATTGCGGCAGCACTGTTCCAACAGGCGTTGGACGAGTACCGCGTTTCGTCCTGTGGTCGATGGAGCGCTGATGTCCGGTTTGGTTGATTGCGTTTTGCGCGGCGAGAGCGAGTGCAAGCTGGGCGGCGCGCGGGCCGCAATGTCATGCTGATCGCTTAGGGGGACAGCTAGCGGCGAGCATCAGGAGGAGGGGGGGGAGGAGGAGGAGGAGGAGGAGGAGGAGAAGGTCCAGAACTGTGCCATGGCTAATAAGAAGGCCTTTTCTCAGTTGAGGCTCGCACCTTTTTCGCTCGCGCTTCGTGTGCAGAGATTGAAGTGGATGCAACCTGTAGTGAGGCGGCCTCTCCAAAACTTGCAACTTCTCGGGGCGATGTTCGGGGGGAGCTACTGGCGGATACGGAGTTCAGAAGCTGGGACGGGGACGGAGTGTCGCGCGGGGCCTGTTCGGACCTGGCGGTCGCAGTTTCAAGCTGAGATTGCGGATCTTTTTCGTGCTGGCGAGCACTTGCAGCGCGTTTAGCACGCGCGTGCGCGACCTGACGCGATCTTTTGCGACGAAGGCGTGCAACATGATTTCCTCTCCACTGATTCTCTCGTTCTCGCCAGTGAATACCTAGGTTAGCAGATGCCTCCCTCCGTGTCCCTGGTGGCCTCCCCTCCTTGTCCTCCACCGCCTCCCCCTCGCCCTCCTGCCCCTGGCTTCGTCTGTGGTCTCAGTCTGGGGGGGGAGGTATCTGTAGTAGTGTGCTGCAGTTCCTCCTTCATAAAAGTCCACTCGCGCTTCCTGAACATGGTGTTAATGATCTTGCTCGCGTGATTACTGCTTTAAACGCGTGTATTTCGCGTGGGGATATGTATGCTACAACGAGAATCGCTAGCGAGCATCCTCTGCGTAGTGTGGTCAATAAGAAGTGCCCGAGGCCCCGAGGTTCTGCCACGGTAGTCGATCACGCTGTTCCTCCACCTATGGGTGTCTGATGTGCCGGGTGTCTTTCAGCAGCTATTGGGAGGCTCAGTGGCATCTACACGAACACGTACCTCTAGGAGAACAGATGCTCGAACTCCAAGCATGTCTCAGCCACAATGGTCTTCTGTCTTCGGCCAGGTGGGCACGAAGCCTGCTGCCGCTGCGCCTGACCCAGGTATCCAGGCTCGCAAGCGCATTGCCGTTGAAGATGGCAGCACGGAGAAGAAAGTCGACCTCGCCATCAAGCTAGGCGTCATCAGCTCCCAGAGGACCCGCCTCCTCGAGGCGGCGTGCACCACGCAGTTCACGATCACGGTTGCCGGTCCCATCTACCAAGCCATGAAGTCCGCATTCGAGACTGAGTACACTCCCCGAGTCAAGGGCCAGAAGGGGCATGGTCTTGGCGCGCCTGACAGTTTCATGTTCGCCGGAGTATTGGTCACAGCGATGCAACACGCTACGCCTGAACAACAGGCAGTGCCTCGCAAGTTTCGTGCTAATTCTGTCGCAGGCAGTCAGCAGTCCCAACTCGTTATCAGGCTGTTTCGCACGGAAAAATGTTTGATTCTAAGGTGCGCAGGCTCATGGTAGCCATCAACGATCCCGTGCTGGAGGCCACTGTAGTCCAGATGTCAAACTCTACGAAAGAAAAAGCCACTGCCTTCACGGGTCCGAGGCCCGCGGGCCACCTTGAGCTCGAGGATCAAGTGCTGATTGCTTCTTGAGTGCGCAGCAGCCTCAGGAGTTCGGCCGTGCGACGGCGTCTGCCGAAAGGCACCGTCGTTGGCGCCCTCCAGTTGTGGAGTGCCGAGAGCTCGAAATGAGGGAGGATCCCCAAATTTCTCCCAAGTCCATCCGACCCTTGGACTCAGAGGAGCGATACCGATACCTCCTCCTCCTCCTCGTCGTCCTCCTCCTCCTCGTCCTTTCCCTCCTCCCCCTGTCCTCCTTCTCCTCTTCCTCCTCCTCGTCCTCTTCCTCGTCCGCCTCCTCCTCCTCCTTTTCCTCCTCCTCCTCCTCTTCCTCCTCTTCCTCCTCCTCCTCCTCCTCCTTCTCGTCCTCATCCTCGTCCTCCCCCTCCTCCTTTTCATCCTCCTTCTATTCCTCCTTCTCTTCCTCGCTCTCTGTCCATCCATCGCTCTGGACGTCCTGGTGATTTCTTTGAGGATCGCGCTGTCGCTCGATACCTTCTGGCGGTATGTCCAGGACGGACGCTTCAGTCCCGCGCACCTTGCGGAACACACAACTTTGAGGCGCCCCCGAAGACAAGACGTGCTGCTCGCCGAGTGCTCGCCTCATCCCTTCTCCCCTGTCCTTCTCCCGCCCTTCTCCCTCCATGCCTCTTTTTTCGTCCTCGTCGTCCTCCTCGTTCCTCCTCCTCCTCGTCCTCCTCCTCCTCGTCCTCCTCGTCCTCCCCCTCCTCCTCCTCCTCCTCCTCCTCCTCCTCCTCCTCCTCCTCCTCCTCCTCCTCCTCCTCCTCCTCCTCCGCCTCGTCTCTTCTTCTTCCTCCCCCCTCCGATCGTCGCGGGTTCCGCCGCCGCCAGGAGCACCGCCTGGTGCCCGCCTCCAGGTCCGCCGTGCCGGCGCCGGCGAGGGACAGCGGCGCGGGCAGGAGCCGCTCTCGCCGCGGCGCTCGGCGGCTTCAGGTCGTCGTCGCTCTCGCCGCCGCCGCCGCCGGCGTGGGGCGTCGTCGCGGGTCTGCGGCCACGCGCAGAGCCGACCCGGACCGTTCCTCCGGGTCGTGCAGGAACCACAACGGGAGGCTCCTGGGGGTGTTTCTCGGCCTCTGGGCGCCCTCGCCGGGCCCGGGGAGCGTCAAAGATGCCGAGAAAGGTTTCCCAGGGAAAGAGCGTCCAGACCTCTGGTGGTCGACGTCGTGGCAAAAAATTCTGACGTCGGAGGCCGGGGAGGGGGGGGGCACGGGGGAGGGGGGAAGGCTGCTCAGAAGCGCCCTTGCTTCTTGGAAGGCGCCGGCCTCGTCGGTAGATGTAAGGCCCGCGCCTGCAGCCTCCTAGGAAGCTTGCTCTCCTCCCCCTCCCCCCCCTCTGCGAGCCGCCAGGTTTTGCCGGAGAGGAAAAAACATGAATAATTCGGCGTCACCCCAACATACTAGCACTATATGTGCGTCATCCCCCCCAGGGGTTGACACGCGTGCGCCGCGAAATCTCATAGTAGAAGTTCCGTGGCGGGCGCTGTCTTGCCAGACCGCTCTGGGAACTCTTACAGAAAATGGTAATCCTAGAACTTTTCCGGGCGGACGCACGCCTCCGAGGAAGACTCATCGTACTGGTATGTCCTTCTGCGCCCCATAAGCATGAACCTTCGGAGGTCTGCGCTGATTTCTTGGATCGGCGCTTGAGAAAGCGAAAACCCACCCCCATCCCCAGTCCCGACGCCCACCCCCGAGCCCGCGATCTGGGGGGTCGGGACTGGGGGTGGGGGGGGGTTCTCTATTCCTGGGACCCGAAAACCCACCCCCACCCCCAGTCCCGACCCCCCGGATCGAGGGTTCGGAAATGGGGTCGGGACCGGGGGTGGGGGTGGGTTTTCGCCTTCTCAGGCGCTGGACTCGCCACTCCTGGCTTTCAGCGGAGCGCGCTGGGGGTGGCGCCCGAGCGGCGCTGGAGGCGCCGCCAGGGGGCTCCAGCTCTGCTCTGAGAAATGCGCGCGGACCTCCAAAAGTTCTTGTCTGTGTGTATCGGGGGCGGAATAGAGGGGGGTGATGACTAGGGGGGGTGGATATCATGGCGGGGGCCATGATATTTCCCCAGATTTCATGGCGCCTCTTCTTGATTCATTACGTCCCTGGCCCCCCCGCTGGGCCGCGCACATGCCGCCGGTCATGATTTGCACCCCCCCTCTTGGACACCCCCCTCTTGGCCGCTCCCGAGTGTAGTCGAAGCCGATGGTACGGATGGGTCGCCCTCCCAAGGGTACCCTTTGCATCCTTGCCTCTTCGGGGCATCCTTGATCACTTTCCAGGGTCCGCCGCGCTCGAAAAGCCTCAACACGGGCGCCCAAGCGGCTTGCATCCTTGTCGCGCACCCTTGCTACCAGTCTTGATGGCAAGTGTTTCTGACTCGGGCCCCTCGCGAAAAAAGGCGCCGCCCAGGCGGAGCAGTTGCGACGGGGGCAGGGCGAGGACACGTCTGGCTGTGGAGGGAAGGGGTAACGAACCTTGGAGAGCTGGCGGCCTTGGAGGACGTGTCGCTTTCAGGGCTCATTTCGATTCCTCCGATTCGATTCGATTCGATTTCGACGGCTTCCGATTCCGATTCGATTCGACTTGGGATTCCGATTTGGGTTCCGATCTCTTACTGGAGACGTACTAGCCTCCCGATTTCCGCCGATTCGACTTTTTCCGTCTCGGCTGCCGATTTCCGCCGATCCGATGTATTTCGATTCCCGATCCGACTCATCGATTCGATTCTGGGCTCTCCTGCGCTTTGCTGGAGAACACCATGCTGCATGGATCAAGGCAGATGTGGTTTTGTTCGCTGCTTGCGGCCTCCAGGGGTCCCCTCGCAAGCGCCTGGGGCCATCAGCAAATCGCTCCGGATGAAAGGCTGGGCGCTGGGAGTGGGTGGAGATTTCCAGGGGCCGCTCGCTGTCTCCCTTTCCTGCTCCCTCCCTCCCTCTCCCTCATCTTGTCGGAGAACAAGCAACGTCGGGGGTGGGGACAGAACCCCCACCCTGACGGGTCGATGAGTGAATCGTCTGCTTTCGGCTCTCGAGCGGGCGCGGCCGTCATTTTCCAGGCTTGCGCCCGCCAGGTTTGGCTTTGGGTTTTTTGGGGGGGGGCCCAGAAGTCGGATTTGCATTTTGTGGTTTGCTTCAGTTTTTCGCGCGCGCTATTTTTCCCCAGCCATCTGGTGGTTCTGAAGAGACAGCGGGGCGCTCCTCCTCCTCCTCCTCCTCCTCCTCCTCCTTCTCCTCCCACTCCTCCTCCTCCTCCTCCTCCTCCTCCTCCTCCTCCTCCTCCTCCTCCTCCTCCTCCGTCCTGCTTCCCATCCTTGCTTCGGCCCGAGAGGGGCTCTGCCCCTCCCCGACACCGGCGTGAAAACGCTCCGCGCGGACTTCTTGGAGATCGGCGGTGGGCCCCCCCCCCCCGGCGGCGCCGCCGGCGCCGCCCCCTGGCGTGGCTCCGCGCGCCGGGGAGGGGGGCGCCCAGCGCCGACCCGAGGAGTCCGCGCGGACATCTCGGAGAGGTGTCGTGCGGAATGCGTATAAGGATTCTTTCGGGAGACATTTTGAAGGATTTTTGAGGATTCGTTCGGGAGACATTTATATATTCTTTCGGAGACATTTTGAAGGACTGCGGGATGAAGAGATTCCGACACATGTCCGCGCGGAATCCGCGCGGACATCCGCGCGGACATCGTACACCATGCTTTTGTTGTTTGTTGTTGTGTTTGATGACCTCTGATGGCTCAGAAATGAATATAGCTGGTCCCCCCTCCGGCGACAATGGCATGCTTCAACTCGCGTGCTCCCGGGGCTCGCACCCAGGTTTTTACGCGGGGACGTCTTGAGGCTCAGATTGGCCTTCGGCCCTGACTTACAACAACAACGGCTCCCTCCTGATACTTCCCACAAGTTACTTCAAAATCGTACTCTCGCGCGGGACGCCCTCACAATTTATGGAGGGATCGCGCTCTCGCGTGGAAGTTGTCAATTTATTCAGACGTCGCGCCCTCGACGCTCAGGAATCACCCTCTCGCTTTGACCTTTCTCGCGATTTACTTGGGAATCGCGCTGTCGTTCGAGACCTTCCGCGCGATTCATGCAGGAATCACGCTTCATCAACCCGCCTGCTCGACCTGGCCGCCTGGGCCCGCCTTCCCGACACTCCCGCCAGGGTCTTCCCGCCCGATTCGCCTGTATGGTTCTGCCACGTTTTTTTTGATTCTAGCCCCCCTTCCTGCTCATCCCTCCTGTGCTCCATCCTTCTCCCACCCCCTTCATCCGTTCTCTCCTCCTCTGTTTCAGGACCTGCGCTAATTGCACATGACAGGTAAGGAAGAAATGATCCTAAGGAGGCACGATCGAAGACGAAGAGGGCGGGCGCCGAGGGTTTGGGATCTACGTGGCGAATGTCACGCGAGCAGATATGAGCGAGTAGTGATAAAATAGCCGTTGAACCTTACTTGTTCAACAGTTATTATTGTTGCACCCCCTGAATCCCTCCCCTTTGGCGCTTTCGCCTCGGCGCTGGCTGCGTTTCCTTCGAAGTCGAGGATCGCGCTCAGTCGTGTTGGGGGTGCGCCGAGACCGCCCCCCAAAAACACCACCACCAACAGCACCACCACCACCAATAACGCTCCCGCCTGATACGTCCTCTTTTCCTACTCGGGATCCGCTCCACACTTCCTTGCTTTGATTTTCGGGTTGGCAATCCCGCCTCGGCGTCGCAAGCGGCCCCCATGCAAACAACGACGCTTCCGGTCGATTGATCTTCCGCTTGTGTTCAAGACTTCCAGAGGCCCTGAGGCTTGTCTAGGCCCCAGTCCCTGTTGACCCTAGATGAATATAACATCGTTACTCTCAGACACCCTGCATCCGCACTGGCGCTCTCGCCTCGGCGCCGGCTGCATGAAAATCAGGTTCGCGCTTAGGCGCGTGTCGGGTTGTTGGTGAAGCCGCCCCCAAATCAACAACAACAACAACAACAACAACCAAACCAAACCACAAAAACAATAACAGCAACACTAACAACAACAGCAACAACAACGCCAACAGCACCAACAACAGCCACAGCAACAACAACAACAAACACAACACCAGCAGCAGCAGCAACAACAACACCAACACCAACAATCAACAGTCAACAACGAACAACCAACAACAACAACAGCAGCAGCAACAACAACAGCACTTATTTTAAGATTGTTCGTTTTTGCTGGCACGCGTGTCTTGCATACTGTATACCCCAACCCTCGATACTCGCCCACTTCGTCTTTGATCGCACCCCCGCTCATGGGGAATATCTTCCTTGCCGGCCACTAACTACAGTCCGAGGTACTCTCGAGCGAGAGCGCAGTTTCTGAGTTCTGGGGCCTCTCTGGCCAGGGGCTCTCGGAATACATATTGAGAAGTATCGAACGGGAACCCTTGTCGCCGTGTCTGGGCCTCCACCAACTTGACTGAATTGCAAGAGAATTTCGCGCGAGAGCGCCACTCTTGAGTTCGGGTCTCTCTGGCCAGGTCCTCTGGGACTGCACCTTGAGGAAGTATCGAACTAGAGCCCTTGTCGTCGTAGTTGCTTTGTCGTCGTGTCTGGGCCTCCGCCAACTTGACTAAATTGCGGCGAAGTGTCGAGCGAGAGCGCCGTTTCTGAGTTCGGGGGCCTCTCTGGCCAGGGCGTCTTGGGTAAATTGTCAGAGGCTGGGGGGTGAGATCGCAGTGAAACTGAGACGCCCCCCCCGGGAAATCGGTTTCGGTTTCGTGTTCGTGTCGTGCGTGAGGCGAGGCGAAGCTGTGCGTGATTCTCCTGTAGCTAGGCCGAAGTAGGAGCGAAAGTCCGTCCGCCCGTCCGCCGGTGGCTGGGACTGGGCCCGCGGTGTCCCGCCGGTGTCCAGTGGTGTCCCGTGGTGTCCCGTCCGCCGGTGGCTGGGACTGGGCCCGCTGTGTCCCGTGGTGTCCCGTGGTGTCCCGTTTGGTGAGATCGATCGTGAGATCGATAGTGAGATCGATACTGAGATCGATGTGGTACCCCGAGGTGTCCCGTGGTGTCCCGTTTGGTGAGTTCGATCGTGAGATCGATAGTGAGTTCGACAGGTGTCCTGTGGTGTCCGTTGAGTGAGATCGATAGTGAGATCGATACTGAGATCCATGCGGTGCCCCGAGGTGTCCCGTGGTGTCCCGTGGTGTCCCGCTGAGTGAGATCGATAGTGAGATTGATAGTGCGATCGACAGGTGTCCCAAGGTGTCCCGTGGTGTCCCGTTGAGTGAGATCGATAGTGAGATCGATAGTGAGATCGATCGTGAGATCGATAGTGAGATCGATGTGGTGTCCCGCGGAGTCCCGTGGTGTCCCGTGGTGGCCCGTGGTGTCCCGTGGTGTCCCGTGGAGTGAGATCGATAGTGAGATCGATATTGAGATCGACAAGTGTCACGCGATGTCCCGTGGTGTCCCGTGGTGTCCCGTGGTGTCCCGTTGAGTGAGATCGATAGTAAGATCGATCGAGTCAGATGTTGGTTCCCCCCCCTCTCCCCCCCCCACAACCTCCTTATCGCCCGAAGGGTGGTCGTATAGGTATAAGGCAGTATCGAGCGGGAGCCGTTGTCGTTGTAGCCCCGCCTCCAAGAGCACGCATTTACATTCTGGCGTCGAGGTGAGAGCGCGCGGAAGCGTTTCCAGAGAACAACAATAAGTATGTTTTAGACATGTATGTCCAACAGAAACCATGCATTCAAAACCCCTAATAAAGACGCGCGACTTTGCTCAGGGGACCCTTGCATCCTTGCCCTTCCTTGCTCTTGCGTCCTTGAGGTTTTCGTTTTCCGCCGCCCCAAAAATCCCAACTGCGGCTTCCAAGGGTCTTGCGTCCTCACCGCGCGTCCTTATTAGGGTTTTGACTGTAAAGCTCCCGCTCGATACCTTCTCCTGTTCTCTACTCGGGTCCAGGCCCGAAACCCGGCCGTGCAGCTAGCCGGGCGCTCCCGCTCGATATTGGAGAGGCTTGACGGCCGGTGCCGCCGACCCTGATCGAAAGGGCTAGGAGTGGGGGGAGGAAGCGGAGGAGGAGGAGGAGCAGGAGCAGGAGCAGCAGGAGGAGGAGGCTCGTTATTTTCTTTGCTGCTGCCCAGGACTGGCGCTCCCGCCTCGGCCCCGCAAACGGCACCAATGCAAACAACGGCGCTTCCTCTCAGTATCTTCCCGTTGTTGTTCATGACTTCCAGACTCCATGGGGTTTCCCTACATCACGAGGGAAGAAAACACACAGAAACCATGAATCGTCGATTCCCCAGAAAATATGGGAAAATATGGGAAGTGGGGGGGAAGACAGAAACCTAGAAAATATGGGAAAGTATGGGGAACCTTTTCATTAGTGTGTATTTATTTGTGTGTCCGAGTTCCCCTTCATCAGTATCTTCCCGTTTTTATTCAAGACTTCCAGAGTCCGTGGGGCTTCCCTGCAGTCAACTCGCATAGCAAGGATGGGCAACCGTCCCAAGGCTGCCCTTGCAGCCTTGCCTCCTCGGTCCGTCCTTGGCCGCTTTCGCTGGCCAACCTCGTTCGACAGACGTTAACGTGGCCCTCCAAGGCCCTTGCATCCTTGCCGCACATCCTCACTATACGAGTTGATTGAAGTCCTCACCGCGCATCCTCACTATACGAGTTGATTGTAGTCCCTACCGCGCATCCTTACCGCGCATCCTTACCGCGCATCCTTACCGCGCATCCTTACCGCGCGTCCTTACTGGCATCCTTACCGCGCATCCTCACTATACGGGTTGATTGTAGTCCCTGGTGCCCGATCCTCCAGAGTGCAGCATGCACTGTCGGAGGTCTGCGCCGGTACCTCCCTGGCTCGCTCCGCGTGCCGGGGACGGCCCGAGAGTCCGCGGCGGCGACCCCGTCGTCCTCGTTGTCGTCGACGTCGTCGTCGTCGTCGGCCTCCTCCTCCTCCTCCTCCTCCTCCTCCTCCTCCTCCTCCTCCTCCTCCGCCTTCGTTTCCTCCTCCTCCTCCTCCTCCTCCTCATCCCCCTCATTTTCCTCCCCCTCTCATCTTCCCTCCTTCCTCCTCAGGTGTCCTGTTCGTCTCGCCCGTCGCTTCCCCTCGTACCCTTGTCGTGTGCTTGCTGGGCCGTGGCCTAGGTTGAATTCGGGGAGACCTTCGACTCTCTCTCTCAAGCGCGCCTGCAGCTGGGAGGATGGTGCCCTTGCAGGCCGTTATGGGCTGCTCGCCTTGTCGGCGGTCATGCTCAGGCCCAGAGGACTCCACCCAGCGAGGCTGCAGGCTATAGCCCCGAGCTGTTCCAAGGTCCTTTCTTTTGTTTCAGTAGGGTAATGAAGCTACCAAACAGGGGCCAATGCTCAGGATCGCAATCGCTCCGTTCCGTTACGTTCGTCGCTTTCCTTGATCGATTTGCTAAGGGAGGAGTCTAGTCCTTGCGAGTGCCTCCCTCGCTTGGAGGGCAGGCGTGTTTCTTTTTTACATGACCATTGGTCAAATTCGGGGTCCTCCTCCTTCTCCTCATCGTTTCCACATGCTGGCCTGGATCATCTGCCTCGGTGCGGGGACTGCAGCAGACGCATATCACGTGTCCCGTGGCTCTTTGGGGGGGGGGGTAGGCGTCAGAGGCTGTCGCTCACCTCCTTTGCGATCCCAGACCTGCGATTTCGTGAAACAGTCAAGGCGGAGTACACGTTCTGGATTATCTGCCTGAGGGGGAGATCCCCTCCCCTCTGACGTCGCATTGTTGCCTGTGGCGTGAGCCATTGGGGGTCTTGACTTTGAGTCGCTTTTGACTGTATCAGGGCTGCGGGGACGGCCTCCAGATGCCAGACACGTTGGGACAGTGGTCGTTTCGGTTTTTTGCAGCGACTACCAGAGTGGAGCATGTCCGGGTTTCGAAACCGTCCAAAAACCATCCGGGATGAATCGCCGAGCGGTCCCCAGGGAGGGGTCGAGAGGGTTTGGGGGGAAGTTGCCATTTTGGGGCCTCTCTCTGGTCTGGCAGCGTTGCCCACTCGGCAACGCTGCCATACCAGGGCCTTATTCGGCGTTTCGACATTGGGCGGAAGGGGGGGAGAGGGGGGGGGTCTGGCTCCGGACCTCTGCTCAGTGCGACTGTTTGCGACAGGGCGTCCTGTGGGGGAGACTCCACCTGCCTGAAAACAGGTCCCAAAAACAGCCAAGATCCACTCCATGGGGGGGGAGGGGAGGGGGTGCGAGGGCCCGCGCCAATCGGCAACACAATGAAGAACAAAACTATCACTGCCGCGGAGGATTGGGTTCGCCGGGTCACTTGCCAAAGTGCCCGTTAGTGGAGTTCCCGTTAGAGGGGCGCTGAAAGAGAGGCATGGGGAGGCGGGTGGGGCGAGGAGGACATAGACCTTTGGCGACACCACAGCATCCGCCGCAGGTGTTGTGTCAATGGCTGTCAGCCGTGCGCAGGGGGGGGGGGTCGAGGGAGGGGGGACGCTTCGTAGAAACACCCTGCTTCTCAGAAGGCGCGGGCCTGATCTGTAGACTGAAAGCCGGCGCCTTCTAAGAAGCTGCCTCCTTTAAGAAGGCTTTCTCCCCTTCCCCTTACTGCCTTCTGCGCGACGCCAAATTTGACCTCCAGGTTTGCTTCCGGGCCCGAGGGGCGTAACGAAGCAGACTCGGCGTGACTAGCCGGTCTTTGGCGGTTGTGATGCCCAGAGGCCGGCGTCTCGCAACATCGCGGTCAAAGTCTGCGGTCGTCATCGTCGTCGTCGTCGTCGTCGTCGTCGTCGTCGTCGTCGTCGTCGTCGTCGTCGTCGTCGTCCGCCTCCCCCTCCCGCTCGCCTGGTGGGAGACCAGAGAGCGTCCCGAATGGGGAGCTCGCGGTTCACGTCTGTGCCCTGCCCCTGCAGAGCGACGACGAGCACCCCCACCTCCACCACGACCACGATGGTAAGACTTCGGCTTGCGCATAAAAAAATCCCCAGGTAGTCTGGGCTGCCTCAACAGGCCCCCCGAGTAGTCTGTGGCGGTCTGTAACAAACCGCCCCTCGGGCAGCCTGTTGATGCCAGCTGGGACTGCCAAGAGAACCTGCTGAGGCCAGCCAGGCCTACTTCTGGAGGCCTGTCTGTACGCACACCGACGGCGACGGCGACCGGCGACCCGCAACGACGACTGACAACGGCGATGACAACGGCGGTGGCCAGGAGGAGGAGGAGGAGGAGAAGGAGTAGGAGGAGGAGGGAAAGGAGGAGGAGGAGAAGAAATAACAGGGGAGGAGGGGGGGGAGGGAGGGGGAGGGGGGGGGAGGAGGAGGAGAGGAGGGAGAGGAGGAGGAGGAGGAGGAGGAGGAGGAGGGAGGAGGAGGAGAGGAGGAGGAGGAGGAGGATATGGAGGAGAAGGTGGAGGATGAGGAGAAGGAGGAGAAGGGAGAGGGGGAGGGGGAGGGGGAGGGGGAGAGGGAGGAGGACGAGGACGAGAAGGGGATTGAGGAGGAGGAGGAGGAGGAGGCCCTAGCCGCGTGGGTCTGCCCGCCGCGCCTCCCCCGACCCGGGCCCCGTCGAGGAAGCGCAAGTGGCAGGAGGAGCTCAGCGGCGAGAGCGGCGGCGAGGAGGTCAACGATGAGGATATGGACGAGTTCCGCAAGAGAGTAGCCGAGGACTCTGGTGGACTCGGGGGCGGAAAAGAGGCGGGTGATGACTAGGGGGGGTGAATACCATGGCGGGGGCCATGATATTTCCCCAGATCTCATGGCGCCTCTTCTTATTTCATTACGTCCCTGACCCCCCCGCTGGGCCGCGCACATGCCGCTGGTCATGATTTGCACCCCCCTTCTTGGACACCCCCCTCTTGGCCGCTCCCGATAGACCCAACAGGGGGTCCAGTTAAAAGGGGGTGGTGCAATAGATCAGTTCCATAGATCCGTGGGGTTGCAATACACTGGGGGCGTGCAGTATACTCATGTGCGCAAGTGTGTTGCTGGAGTTTCGCGTGCAACACATCCGTTGCGATACAGTGCAGTACAGCTCTCTGGCGCAATACATTGGCAACACTCTTGCCCCACATCTGCTTTGCCGTGTAGCCCATCTCGTATCGTCTCCTCTTCCTTTGCGTTCCTCCACCGTCCTCCTCATCCCTTCGCCTCCTCCTCCTCCTTCTCCTCCTCCATCCCTGTCGTCCGCCTCATCACCATATTCCGACGCCTCGTCCCTCCTGTTCCCCGTCAGCATCGTCTCCATATTCGTTGACCTACCCCTCCAACTCTTCCTCTACTACTAGTTCCCCGTCGCCTCGCACCATTCGCCTGATAATCTTGTCCTGGACCATGATACTGCACATGGTTTTTCTCCCCTTCATGATTCCTTCACCCCCATCTGTTTGCTCCTCCTTATCCTTCTCAGGCCACGCTTCACCCCCTCCTCCTCCTCCTCCTCCTCCTCCTCCTCATCATCATCATCATCATCATCATCATCATCATCATCATCATCATCCCCCTCCTCTTCCTCCTCCTCATCATTCTCGTCCTCCTCCTCTTTCTCTTCCCTGATTCCCCTCATCATGCTCATTCCTCCCCCCGTCATTCAAATAGACTGCTCTTCCGCCGTTTGGTTTCACTCCGACGCGTACCTGTACAACGTACGGAGAAGGCAAGTTTCGTAATCTAAATCTTATTGCCGCCATGTTTTCTTCCGTACAGCTTCCAACCCCTGCAATTGCAGTTTGTAGCGGAGTTGGGAGCGATCCAAATTCGCGATGAACGTGCGCATAGTGAGGTGTGGACGCACATTCGCATGTACCCTCACCTCCGCATTGGTGCCACCCCCCAATTCCTCAGCAGCCTGTGCTTATGGCTGTTCTGCAATCCATCCGGCAGTTCGCCCCAGACGCCCAGAGGTCCGGCTGCGAGGGCATCAGCAGAAGGTGCAGCCGCGATGATGGGCGACTCGTCTAGCCCACAGAAGCGCCACAACGTTCCTCGACCCACCGCAACCCCACAGGCACTGGCCGCAGCTTCGCGTCGGGCGTGGTTGCGAGGCTCCTGCCTGGGCTGGAGCCTGGCCTCGGCACGTGTGCGATAGTTTTGGCTGTAGTTATGCGCAAATCGCACCGCCCGAGTGGAACACAGATGGCGACGCGTCAGTTTCACCGACCTCGGTTTCGACCGAGGTTGACGGCTGTCCCGTACCTCGACATGGCGCTCGTCCGCGCCCAGGCCCGAGTCCCAAGGCGCCTCCGCAGCCATCGTCGTGGTGAGGTCCTACCGAGGCGGATCTCAATCTTGACGCTTCGGGGCAGCGTCCTCATTGTCTTCGTGGCCGTCCTGTTCTGGCTCACCGGCATGATGCCTGGCGGAGCGAGCCCACAGGGCGGCGGCGGCCGCGGTGGGATTATTTCCCTCCAGCCGCCCTCATGGACACCCGAGCGCGAGTCCATGTATCACTGCCGCCACTGGCTACAATACCTGCTCGTTTGGAGCGTGCCATTCAACGACATGGGCAGCGCACAAAAATGCGCCCAGCAGCGCCCTCCAGGGGTTTCGACCGATGAACAAAGCATGAGGGGGTCCTTGGCCGCGATCTTACTTCCAGCCCCATGTCGACTGCCCGCCCATCCACAGGCGCCGACTTGGAGGCCTGGACGAAGGGCTTGGAGAGGGACGGCAGGGGCGAGAGGGCCACAACCACCAGCACCAGCTGGCCCTTGTGGCCATTGCTGCGGCAGGGGACCTGGGCGTCGAGTGTTCCGAGCACCTTCAGCCCGCACGCCAGGAGGAGAAGATCCCCAAGGAAACCGAACATTTGGTTACTGCCGGGTCGTCCCACAGTGGTTGCACCATGTCGACCATGTGCTACTGCTTTGGCAACCGCACGCGCAGCGCCTCCAGCACTGCTCTCCGGGGTCCGTATTTAGAGGTGCCCATCCTGCCGAGGCGTCGCCACCATGGGTTTGCGCAGGTCTTGAAAACGAGATCCTGGACGGGGTGCGGCGTCAAAGTATGCGTTTGGGCGCCGCCCCGGTGACTTTCGCACAGCAGCCAGAGCCTCCGAGACCGAGCCCCCGCGACAAGCTGTTCAATTTTGAGCCAGCATGGCTATGGACGTTTCCCCCTCCCCACCCACCCCCCCCTCGTCATCCGCCTCGCCCTCCTCCTCCACCTCCTGCTCCTCCTCCTCCTCTTCCTCCTCCTCCTCCTCCTCCTCCTCCTCCTCCTTTGTCTCCTCTTCCTCCCAAGTGCGTGCGTTCCTCCCTTCCCTCCTCCATCCACATGTCTCTTGCCCCTCGTGCCGCCGCCACCCCCCTTCTCCCCGCCAGGAGGAGCGGCAGGAACAGCTGCAGCGCGAGATGCAGGAGCAGCGGGCGGCGCAGGAAAAGGCGGCCCGCGAGGAGCTCGAGCGCCGCAGGGCGGAGGAGGACCGCCGGGGCGCCTCCGAAAGGCGCCGCCGCTCGCCCGCTCAGGCGGGAAGGTGCCGCCGTCCCGCCGCCAGCACGCCGCTGTGCGCTCGTGGTGGACGACGACGCGGACGACGACGACGACGACGACCACGACGACGACGACGACCACGACGATTACGACGATCACGACGATTACATCGATTACGACGACCACGACTATTACGACGATTGCGACGACGACGATTACGACGACGACGACGACGACGACGACGACGACGACGACGACGACGACGACGACGACGACGACGGGGGGTTCGTCGGGAGATAGGGAAGGGTGCGAACCCGTCCGCCTTCTCGCAGGCAGGGGCGGGAGGAGGCGGGCGGGTGGAGGGGAGGGGAGGGGAAGGAAGGGAAGGGGGAAGAGGAGGGAAAAGGAGCAGGAGGAGGAAGGAGGAGGAGGCGGAGGAGGAAGGAGGGAAGAGGAGGGAAGAGGCCCGTTTGGGGATAAGGGGTGTGTGCGTGAAGGGTGGAACCCACATGATTACATGTTCGTGCCTTCTTCTTCTCCGCCCTCGTGTTCCCTCCCTCCCACGTCCCTCCCTCCCCACATTTGTCTCTCCCCTTTGCCTTTTCCTCGCCCCCGTTCCTCCCTTCTCCGCCGCTTCCCCTCTCCGCCCCCTGCTTCCTCCCCTCCCCGCCCCCCCCACCGCTTCCTCAGTCCTCGCCACGATCCGGCCCTCCTCTTTCTCCCTCCCTTCCCCCCTTCGCGGCCTCCCATTTGATCAAGCAGGATGCCCTGTCGCCGGTTGGTTCAGCGCCGACCGTGCAAACACATACAGTGCCGTTTTTAATACATGCTCCGCGTGCGGATCATGTATTAAACATGCAGGGGTTGAGTGTTAAACACAACGACGAGTTCTTGCATACATGTAATCATGAATTAGGCGTGCAGTGCCAATCATATTTTTTATATCAAGACCTATGTATAAAAAACTGCCCTGTACATGAGAAGGAGACGAGGTCTGTTTACATCTCTTATTGCCGCTGTGTCGGCCTTCTCGCTACCACCAACGCCAGACATACCAATTGGCAGCGGAGTTTGGAACGATCATCCCAGCTCGCGATCCACAGAAGACGCGCAGAGAACGTAGCGGAGGCACATTCGCATTTCCTTCACCCTCCGCATTGGTACCACCCTCCATTCCCTGAAAAAACTGTGCGTAAACATGGTTCATCTCGAATTATTCGTAAGTTCTTTGATTTTTTGGGGGGACAGATCCTTTCTAATTGTTCTATCCTGGGCCTCTTCCTGGCCACTAGGGGACCCGGAACAATTAGAAACGAGCACAATTAGGAATGAGCACAATTTGAAATCAACAATTTGCATGGCTGTTTTGCAACCCCGCTGGCAATTCGCCTGGGGCACTCACAGGCACGATGAACAGGCCAACACCACACCGTGTGAGTGCTTGTGGGGGCCTGGGTGCAAGGGCAACAGCAGCTCGACGCCCACGTGTTGCGCACAACCGTCCAGCACGGGTTGCAGAGCGCAGTTTTTTGCGTTGGGCGACATGAGTGGGCTATTACTCGGATCCGGGTTGTCCGCAATCGTGCTGGCCTACGTCCCAGTGAGCACGCTATCCACCCTGAGTGACATCTTATTGCAGTGGCTTCCGGCCGGTGCCGCCGATCCGGGGGGCTCCAGATTCGGTGATCTTCGCGGCGTTGTGGCCTCTTCCCTCGATTCTCCCGGTCCTCTTTCGTCTCCTCTGGGTGTGTGCCTGGAGCGGTCCCGGGGGGGGGTCCGGGGAGGGTTCCGAGGCGAGGGTCCTGGGGGCGGTAGCGGCTAGATCTGAGGGGGGTCCTTGGGACTCCCCGAAGCATCTTGGGGATGCGACAATTATCCCCGAGTGACATCTTATTTGGAAACGCGCGTGCCTCACCACCCTCAGCGCGGACTCAGGGTGCCAACGCCGGGACGGAGGCACCAAGCATCGAGTTGGCGTTCGTCCCTGCGCAGGTCCGAGTTACAAGGCGCTTGCGCAGCTCATATCGCGGGGGTGGACCTAAACGGTGTTTGGGCGATTTCGTAGGCCGTTTTCGTTTCGATTTCGTTTTGCGGAAAAGGCGAATGAACGACAAAACGATAGAAAACGAAAACAAAACAAAAACGAAAAACATTGTTTAGGGTCAGCCCTGTCATATCGTGGTGGAACCTTTCAGATGAGAATCTCCATCGTGGCGTAATGGGGCAGCATCACCATCCCCTCCGTGATTCCTCTGGCTTCTTTGCGCGATGCCAGCAAGAGCTGGACGGCAAGGTGGAGGCGGCGGCAGACGAAGCAACATGCGTCAGCCACCTGCCTGTTCGCCTGGACGGTAGTCCGCCTACCCCTTTCGCCACCGGGTGCAAGACCTGCTCACGTGGATCGTGTTCGCCACAGCGCTCAGGAGTGCGTAGCCATCTTGAACCTTGGTGACGCAGCTCGAGAACCCACTTCGGACCACTTGGCGAAGAATCGAGCCTTCAAGCCACACAGGAGCTCTTCGACTTCTCGAGGCGACCTGTCGCGTTTCCTCGCGCTGCGGTTCTGAGCAATGCAAAGGTGACGTTGCGATGCCATGGGCAGGCTACAGCTGGCTGCTCCTCCGAGCGGTCGGCGCCCCGGCGGGCCATGTCATGACGCTGCCAGCTCCACTGCAACAGACACCCCGCAACAGAGCCTAAGTTGAACAGTCTCCCGACGATGCTCAGGCACGTGGGCCCTTTCTTGCAGCACGCACCCGACCACGTCGCCGGCGCCCTCCGTGCGCCACCGAGTAGGAGGACCAGGAGGAAGAGGAGGAAGACGAGGAGGAAGACGGGGAGGAGGAGGAGATGCAGGGGGAAAAGGAGAAGGAGGAATATGAGGAGGAGGAGGAGGATTTCGCTGGATTCCGCTAGCCAGATCTCCGGAGCTGCGAGGCACGCGCCCCGGCGACGTTGAAAGCCTCCCCTACCCCAGGCCGTCCCTGAGCGATAAAGTTTGGCTTTTATCAAATCGGGAGGCGCCCCTCACAAGTGGTCTTGGGGGTCCCCATGCCGTTGAACCTCACGCTGATGATACCCGCACACTAGCTGATCCCATCTGCGTTGGTTCGGCTGCGGCCCCACCCCCAGGTAGCGCCGAGCCGTGCCTTCGGCGCCGCCTGCGCACAGGACAGCGCCTCCCTTCTCGCTAGAGATGATACCAGCACTGTAGCTGATGAGCCCTCCAGCGGATCTCCGTGCAATTTCGATCCCAGCGTTGTAGCTGATCTCGCACCGCTTTCTCCTAACGTGTCAGCTAGAGGAAGATAGAATCGGGCTCCAGCTTTGCCTCTCGTTTCTCCCAGCGCACTGTGGTAACTAGGAGGGTGACGCTGGGCTCCAGCTTTGCCTCCCTCTTCATGCAGCGAGTTGCCCTGATCCCGACGCTGTAGCTGACCACGTCGGGCTTTGCCTTCGCCTCCCACTTCTCGCAGCATGGTGGCCCCCTGCGTCACGACAGAACACCGCTCGCTCTTCTCGCACGCGCTGTTCCCAAAGGCGTTAGCTGGATGAGACTCGGGCTCCAGCTTCGCCTCCCGCTTCTCGCAGGCCCCACTTCTCGCACGGACTGCTCCCAGCGTTGTAGCTGGGCGTCCACCCGCACGTTTTGCACAGTACCAGCGTCCGCTGCCACTGCGCGTTCCCTTTCTCGCACTGATCCCAACGCTGTAGCTGACCACGTCGGGCTCTACCTTCGCCTCCCGCTTCTCGCATGGCGGCGCCCACCTGCATCGCGACAGAACACCGCTCGCTCTTCTCGCACGCGATGTCCCCAGAGGCGTTAGCTAGATGAGACACTCGTGCTCCAGCTTTGCCTCCCGCTTCTCGCAGGCCCCACGTCTCGCACGGACTGCTCCCAGCGTTGTAGCTGATCGTGGCCCACCCGCACGTTTTGCACAGCACCAGCGTCCGCTGCCACTGCGCACTCCCTTTCTCACACGGACTACTCCCAGCGTTGCAGCTGATCGTGGCACACCCGCGCTTTCGCCCCTCTCGCAGCGCCAGCTCTGGCTGCCACTGCTTGCTTTCTCGCAGCGTCAGCTTTGTTGCCACTGCTTGTCTTCTCTCACGGCCTGACCCCTACGCTGTAGCTGATCGAGACCCTGCTTTCCCCGCACTCCTGTCCGCGGCGCCGCATCGGCTTGCGCCCCGGTGTGCCAGGAGGTGGAGGAGGGGAAGGGCGGAGGGGAGGAGGGGGCGGAAGGGAGCGGGCATCCTGGCAGCTGCGCGGTCGCCTGGACTCAGCATGGTAGCTGATGGCGTTGGGCGCCGCGCTGCTTCTTCTTGGCGGCTCGGGCGCGCAGTGCCACTTCGAAGTTGGCGCGCCGCATCGTCCAGGAGGCCTGGTGCAGGGGGGGGCCGCTCGGACGCGAAATGGCTAGGAGGAGGAGGAGGAGGAGGAGGAGGAGGAGGAGGAGGAGGAGGAGGAGGAGGAGGAGGAGGAGGGGGGAGCGGGGGGGCTGGGCACAGGCGGGGGATGCGGGGGACGCGGGTCAGACTTGCCCATTTCCCAAGGCCTCTCGGCAGGAGGGTTCTCTCGCTTTCGCGCCCGTCGTGCGGGCGAGGCTGCGGCGCCAGGCGGCGCGTCGAGAGGGGGACTCGACCAACTGCGCAGCCCACGCTCGAGGGGCACAGGCGGGGCGGCTTTCCGAGAGAGCGGGGGCGGATTCTGCGAGAAGGCGGGGCTTCCAAGTGGGGTCCGATTAGGCGGGGTCGGGAAGATCGCGCCGCATCCCCGATGCATGGGCGATGCGGTTTGCTGAGGAGCCGGTTTTCTCAACGCCGACGTCGCCCACACATAGCCAACGTCGCCGATGCATCGGCGACGCAACGGCGCTGCATTGGCAATGCAGCGCGACCCCCCGACCTCATCTATTCGGACTCCATTCGGGAGGCCTCCTGGGGGGCCCTTCCAGGGACGCCCCCGCCTTTCAAGAAGATTCCGCCGTCTGGGCGGCCGCCTCAAGCGTCAACGTCCCGAGCCTCCCGAGCCTCCCGCCCCGCGGAGCGGAGCGACGCGTTATCCGCATGCAGAGCACAGCGTGTTAGCATGGCCGCCGCCGCGAAACACGAAGCAGAAGATCCCAGCCGCAGACTCTGCAGCCCTACCCGCCCGCCCCATCGTCCCCGTCCCCCCCCCCGTTGTGACTCCTCTTCCTCCTCCTCCTCCTCCACCTCCTCCTCCTTCTCCTCCTCCTCCTTCTCCTCCTCCTCCTCCTCTCCCTCCTCATCCCCCCTCTCCTCCACCTCATCCTCTTCCTCTTCCTCCTCCTCCTCCGCAACCTCCTCATCCCCCGACGTCCTCGCCTTACCCTTCCTCTCCGGCTTCCCCCCCAGTCATCTCAATGTATGGTTCTGCGCGTCTTGTGGTATGTATGGGGGCAGGCAGTTGCTGGGGGGTAAAGTCTGATTACTCGTGCTGAGTACCTCAAGCGTATCGGGCAAGGGTTGTTCCCCGAGACTTGCAGGAAAGCCGAGCTCGATAAGAAGGCCCACAAGAGGTCGTGAGGTTGTTATCTGGGCTTCGTCCGGGCACTCCTGACTCCTTACGTCTCCTCCTCCTCCTCCTCCTCCTCCTCTTCCTTCTCCTCCGCCTCATCCTCCTCATCCTCTTTATCCTCCTCCCTCTCCTCGGCGTCCTCCTCCTCTTCCTCCTTCTCCGACTCCTCCTCCTCCTCCTCCTCCTCCTCCTCCTCCTCCTCAGCATCATCATCATCATCCTCTTCCCCCTCCCCCCTGGTTCGTGCTGTCTTTTTGTTACCCCTGGGTGACGCGGTTGCTTCTTTTTTGTTCCCCCCCCTCCCCGCCGAGGAGGAAGAGAGGCGCACCAAGGACCGTGGCAGCGAGATGCCGGGGCGACGGGGCGTGCCACCCGAGGAGGGGGAGGAGGAGGAGGAGGAGGAGGAGGAGGAGGAGGAGGAGGAGGAGGAGGAGAGGAGGAAGAAGAAGAAGAAGAAGAAGGAGGGAGATGAAGAGAAAGGAAGGAGTAAGAAGGGACGCTGGCGAAGGAGGGGCGCGGACGAGGACAGGAGAAACCAGGGGAGAGAGGAGGGGAGATCCGCAAAGGGAGGCGTCAGGAGGGAGGAGGGGGAAGAGAAGAGAGCAGGCAGGAGGGTGGATGAAAAAGGGCTGAGGAGGGGCGCAAGAGGAGGAGATGAGGGAGTAGGAGGAGGATGAGGATGAGAGGAGGAGGAGGAGGAGGTGGACGTAGAGGAGGAGGAGGAAGTGGACGAGGAGGAGGAGGAGTAGGAGGAGTAGGAGGAGGAGGAAAAGAGGGAGGAATAGGAGGAGCACGAGGAGGTGGAGGGGGAGGAGAAGGAGCAGGAGGAGAAGGAGGAGCAGGAAGAGGCGGGGAAACAATCGGAAAGAGGATGTGCGCGGACCGCGTGCTCGACTTACGCTTCTGAAAAGCACGAGGAGGAGGAGGAGGAGGAGGAGGAGGAGGAGGAGGAGGAGGAAGACGACAAGGACGCGCACGAGGAGGGGGAGGACAGAAAGGGATGAGATGCGAGCTGTGCCCAGACCAGACACAAACGGGGGCTCTGCGACGGCCCCCCCGAGGCCTCGACGGGGCTCCCAGAGGGCGTCGAGTGGGCCTCTTGGCAAGGTCCAGGGCGTCGACACGGCGTCGAGTGGGCTCCCAGAGGGCGTCGACAGGGCTCCCAGAGGGCGTCGACAGGGCTCCCAGAGGGCGTCGAGTGGGCTCCCAGAGGGCGTCGACAGGGCTCCCAGAGGGCGGCGAAGTAGGCTGCATGATGCAGTCTGCCTCTTGGCAAGGTCCGAGGGGTGCACGATGGTTCCAAGAGGGCCACGAAGTCGGCTGTCGGTTGCAGTCTTCTTTCTAGGAAGCTTGCGTGGTGTTGGCTTGGCGGCCCATGCTCTACAGCGAGACAGCACGTCAACCCTTCGCTCGACGCAGGCGGCCGAAGGTATCGCTCATTGCGTCCGAGTGCTATTGCTCATACCGTGTATCCTCCCAGCAGGGAGGCCCCGCCTTCTTTGCCCCCCCCCTCTGCTAATCAAAGCTGTGCGCGGCCCGCCTAGCTTTTATCGGAAGAGGCTCGCTCTCGACCCGCAGATCAAAAAAGTATCCTCCTAGCCCGTTCCTCCAGACACGATCATGGATTATATGATCCGGAGGAGCTGGAGGCGACACCCGAGCTCGAGCCCTCAGCCCGAGCCCGAGCCCGCTCCCCGTGGCGGCCCCGAGCCCCCGTGAGCCCGTGGCCCCGCGCCCGCGGGCCTCGAGCCCTCGGCCCTCGAGCCCGTGAGCGCTGTGGCCTCGCGCCCTCGGCCCTCGCGAGCCCGGGGGCCTCGGCGAGCTTGAGTTCCCTCGAGCCGCGGGTGGCCTCGCGCCTCCGTGGCCCCGCACCCCCGCTGGCCTCGAGCCCGCGCCCCCGGGCCCGTTCAGGAGGGGAAAACACACACAGACACGATGAGTCGTCGACTCCCCCGAAAAGATGGGGAAGTGTGGGAAGTGGGGGGGGGGGGGGAGTGGGGGGGGGTGGAGGGAGGGAAGACGGAAACCCAGAAACTATGGAGACAGATGGGGATTCCTGTTCTTGGTGTGCATTTATTTGCGTGCTTGTGGGCCCCTGCACCCGTGGCCCGCGCGCTCGCCCCCCGAGGAGCTGGAGGAGGCCGACCGCGCGCGGCGCGAGGCGGAGGCGGCGCGCCCGGGCGCGGGGGCGGCGGCGGCGCCGGCCGCCGAGGCGGGCCCGCAGGAGGAGCCGCTGGCGCCGCCGGGGGCGCTGCCTCCAGGACCTGACGGGGAGGAGAGAGGAGGAGGAGGAGGAGGAGGAGGAAGAGGAGGAGGAGAGGAGGAGGAGGAGGAGGAGGAGGAGGAGGAGGAGGAGGAGGAGGAGGAGGAGGAGGAGGAGGAGGGAGGAGGAGGAGGAGGGGAGGAGGAAGGAGGGAGGAGGAGGAGGAGGAGGAGGAGGAGGAGAGGAGGAGGAAGGAGGAGGAGGGGAGGAGGAGGAGGAGGAGGAGGAGGAGGGGAGGAGGAGGAGGAGGAGGAGGGGGAGAGGTTCTGTCATGACCCCTCGGGACATGGCAAAGCCACGAGGCAGGAAAGGGAGAGGCATCCACATACCTCTATACCCATCGCCCGTGTTTTCCCCTTGTTTTGGGGGCCTCCTGGTAGGCCCTCGGCGCCACCGCCGGATTCGCCTCGAAATTTCATTCTGGCCCGAAGACACCCCAGGAGAGGACCGGGGAGTAGCGGTATCGGTACCTCTTGATTTCCCCCACGGTGGGAGGTGTTTGTCCATTTTCGGCCTCATGGGGGCCTCGCCGGGTCCCGGGACCGTCGAACAGCGGCTCTGCAGGAGGAGTTGGTGCAGGGGAATGGGTCGAGAGTTTTGCGGCTCTACGCCAGGAAAAAATCATGGCGTCAGGGATCTGGGTGGTTCACCCCCCTATCCAGGTCACCACCCATTACGGTGGGGGCGTTGGTGGAGGGATGCGCCCAGGAGGCCTTGTCCCCTCGAGGATCCCTTGCTCGTTGAGGGCGGCGGCGGTATCCACGGCCAGGCCTCAGTCGGTGTTCCACCGAGTTCCAAACTGTGGATTTTTTTAGCAGATGGTTTCGTATCCGATGCCCTCACCGTACCCATACCGCCACCCTTGCCTCGTTGTCGCCTTCTTTAGCCTCCTGGGAGACCCTCGTCGCCACCGCTGGACCTGCTTCGACATTCTGGTCAGAACGCACCCAGGGGGGGTTGTGGGGAGTAGCGTGAAGTCGGGCATGTTCCCCTACAGGAGGAATCTTCAAAAATAATTGGTAAAAAAATCGTCTGGAGACGATTTGTCTATAATGCTCTGCATACGTCTGAGTCTTTGTTTGACTATTTGTTCTGCTTCCTCCAACCAAAATCCGCCTGTAGCAGGACATGCCTGACCTCAGCGTACGGCATCGGTACCTTTCGGTTTCCCCAGGACCACCCGGCGTCGGCGCCGAGCGCGCTTCCCGAAGCTTGCCCGCTGGAGTCCTCGCCTGCTCCCCCTCCATCGAAGAGCCTAAAACGGCACACACATCAAGTGTTCGGGGTTCCGCGCGGATTTCCGCGACCTGCGCTGGATCCCTGGCGACGCCGCCCCTGGCGCGCTCCGCGCGCCAGGGGGGGGGTTCAGCGCAGACCCAAGAAATCCGCGCGGAACTTCGATGCTCCCCCCCCCTCTTGGAGAATCGGGTGCCCCCCAAACGGCCAGTCGGTCAGAGGGGATTCAGCAGGGTGTTCAGACTTTCTTGCCGGTTCCTGCAAGTTTTCCTGCCTCGGGATGCGTTCCAGCATCTGCGCCTCGCCGAGAGCGTGCTGGGAGGGGGCCCGGATTTCCCCGAACGGCACTGGGAACCGAGTCGTGGCCCGGAAGCCAAAGATTCGGAGAAGGTCCGGTGAGGTGAGTCAGTGGGAATTCGGGGTCACCGCACGGTTTGGGACTCGGGTCATTATCCGAGGATGTCTGGTGTGATTGGGGTTTCCAGGGGCCCAAAACGGTGCGGCGACGGACCGCGCAGTGAGGTCGCTGGAGATTCCAAGGTCACCACGCGGTCTGTTACCACACGATTTGGGGGATCTCTTAGATGACGAGGAATACGGAGAAGAAGCAGCATAGCAATAATAGTATGAGTAATGCTATAGTTAATAATCGTACGAGTGATCGGCGTAATACTTCGGATGTTAGTGACCATGCGAATGCTAATCTTATAGTTGATACGACGATTGATCATATCAGCAACAAGAGTAGCAAACCATAACATCATCAACATCATCATCATCATCCTCATCAGCACAATCATTAACAACAGCAACATCATCATGCTACGATTGCTAATGATATGCTGAAGAAGAGTTATACGGATCATACGAATCAATAGTTCAGAGGAGCAACGTGCACAAATACCGCGACAAACTGTCAGTCGCCACGGATGGAGTCGCCTCGAAACCCTGGTCAGAAAGCACCCCAGGAGATGTCCCACGAGTAGCGGTACCAAGGTGTTCTTGTCCCCCCAGGCGAGTCTATGCAAGCATTCACATGTTCAAAATTCCAAGCGAATTTCTCGCCTCGGCGCTAGGCCCCCTCCCCATCGCGCGGTGCGCGCCAGGAGCGGCGCCAGAGGCGCCGCCAGGGGGGCCCAGAGCCCATCCAAGAGATCCGCGCGGAGCTCCATGTGTGATGTGCAGTTTTGTCTTCCTCCGTCCTCGCCCCCCTCCTCCCCCTTCTCCTCCCTCCTCCTCCCCCTCCCCCTCACCCTCCTCCTCCTCCTCCTCCTCCTCCTCTCTCCTTCCCTCCTCCCCTCCTGCTCCTCCCTCCCCTCCTCCCCCTCCTCCTCCTCCTCCACCTCCTCCTCCTCCTCCTCCTCCTCCTCCTCCTGCTCCTCCTCCTCCTCCTCCTCCTCCTCCTCCTCCTCCTCCTCCTCCTCTCCTCCTCCTCCTCCTCCTGCTCCTCCTCCCCCTCCTCCTCCCCTCCTCCTCCCTCCTCCTCCCCCTACCTCCTCCTCTCTCCCCCTCCTCCTCCTCCGCTCCTCCTCCTCCTGCTCAACCCCCCCTCCTCCTCAGGCCCTGTGCTCAGGAACGGTTGCTCCCCGTGTCGCGCCGCCGGCTCTGACCCGGCGCGCTTCGGCGCTGCAAGCGGAGCACGTCCCGGCCCCTAAGCTTAAGTCGGGCCTGTCCCTTCACAGGGGGAAGATTCCAAAATAGTCAAAACATAGTCAGGGGACTTTTTTTTGAGTATGTTTGAATATGCTCGAATAAGGAACACTTACTTTTCAAAAGGGGCTCGGTCGTTCCTTAGGTTTTACATGCGTTGTTTACAGTTCATTTATGCGTTATCTACTAGTTGTCGTTCCTTATGCGTTATTCCTTATGATAAAAAAGGGGCTTCGTTCCTTATGTATCGTTCTTTAGGTCAGGCCGATGACTGTAAGCTTGAGTCGGGCCTGTCCCTCCACAGGGGGAAGATTCGAATATAGTCCAAAACATAGTCAGGGGACTATTTGTTGAGTATGTTTGAGTATGCTTTGAATCTGTTAGGTGCATTTGTTCGTCCGGAATCCCCCTGTAAGGGGGACAGGCCCGACATAACCCTGAGCGTGAGCAGCCCGAGCTTGTCCCGGGCCGCCCGTGCCGCGAGGCAGGGCGACACGCTCGCGGCCTGCGTGGCGTGCCCCGTAGGGGCCTGCGGCGCGACACGCCGAGCCAGAGTTCGTCACTGCATCCTCCTCTGGTGGGCAGCCCGAGGCACGCCGGCCGCAAGCCGACACCAGACCTGGCCCTGCCGAGCCCTGGGCCCAGGTCGAGAAAGGAGAAGTATGCACATGCACCGACTCTGGCCCGGCCCGTCCTGAGCCCAGGATCTGTGCATACGACCTCCTGCCTTGGCCAGGAAAGCTTTCTGCACCGATCCTGGGCCCAGGATGGGCCTGGCCAGGATGGCTGCGTGTGCATACTTCTCTTCGCCCGACTAGGGTTGGTGTATTACGCCTTCCTGGGCAAGCCAGGAGGGCGTAGACGGCGCTTCCTGGAGCCTGGCCGGGCTTGGCCAGCATCGGTGTCGCTGTGTGGTCTGCGTCCTCCTCGAGGCGGGCGCCTGCCCAGGCCCCGGAGCTTGCCCTTCCCGATCGAGGGGATCACGGGGGCGGGGGGGGCGGGGCCTGGCGGCCCTCTCCTTGTCCTCCTGCCATCTTCTCCTCCTGCCTCGTCATTCTCGTCTCGTCTCCTCCTCTCTCCTTGCCCCGGTCCCCCCGCCCCCCCGTCGGCTCGACGATCCTGCTACCCCCCCCCGGTCCCCCCCGCCCCCCCGTCGGCTTGCCGATTCGGAGATCGGGGGCCTCCACCCCCCCTGTCTCAAACGGCTGTCTCCCGACGAGGCATCTCCTTCAGAGGAGGTGAACCGTTGTAGGAGCCTATGAAGAAGGAGTTTGGAGGGAGGGCTTATTTTGGTAGCGGCAAAGAGGAGGTGATGACTAGGGGGGGGATATCATGGCGTGGGCCATGATATCTCCCCAGATTTCACGGCGCCTCTTCTTATTTCATGACGTCCCTGGCCCCGCCGCTGGGCCGCGCACATGCCGCCGGTCATGATTTACCCCCCCCCCTCTTGGACACCCTACTTTTGGCCGCTCTCGATTATTCCAACATCGTTGATGACCCTTGGGTTTACACTGGTCCTCCTCCTCCTCCTCCTCCTCCTCCCCCTCCCCCTCTACTCCCCCTCCCCTGGGGACGAGGCTCCGAGCCAGGCGGGGTCGAGCCCCGCGTCGGCGACCACGGGGGGGTGTGGTTACGCTGGTGGTGCGGTTTGAGATCGGCGCCGTGGGGGCCCTGGGGGCACGACACTGACCTCGTTGGGCCTCCTCGGGGCGCGGCGGAGAACTCCGTCGAGACCCCCCCGCCCGCCCCCCAGGATGCCCCCTGGGTTTAGGGTTCAGGTGCTGGTTGCAAACCACACGCGTTGGCGGACCGCGCCCTCCGGAGCCGCCCACCCCCCCGGGCGGGGGGGCGGCGGGGGGCGGCCGAGGTGCCGCCGGGCATGAAGGTGGACAAGATGCACCTGTACAAGACCTCGTTTTGTAAGCGCTGGGAGCAGGCCTCCCCCCATACCCCCCCCCCGAAGCAACAAGCACGGGGAGAGCTCGCCAGCCTCGAACTTATCCCTATCCCTGAGAATTGACACGCCAAAGGGCGATGACACTCTTAGGGATCCGCCCTCAAAACAGAAGGGAGCACCTGAGATTGGCATCGTGATGAGGAGGTGCCCAGCACAGGCCTAGTAGGAGGGATGTGTACCAGGCTGGTCAGGAGCTCGCCTCTGGAGGGGCGGTGGGGCCTCCCGGCGAGGCCTTCTGCCCCGCTCTCTCGCCGGGGCTCCCGCCGCGGCCCCCCTCCCGGGCCGCAGGGCCGTGCCAAAGACACGGCCCGGGGGGGAGATAACCGGTGCCAGCTCCTCCCTCCTCCCTCCTCCTCCTCCTCCTCCTCCTCCTCCTCCTCCCTCCTCCTCCTCCTCCTCCTCCTCCCTCCTCCTCCTCCTCCTCCCTCCTCCTCCTCCCCTCCTCCTCCTCCTCCTCCTCCTCCTCCTCCTCCTCCTCCTCCTCCTCCTCCTCCTCCGGTCCAAGGTACCCTCAGAGGCGACGATTGGGGCGAATAGCCCAGGGGGGAGCATTTTTTCCTTGGCGAGGACCCTGGAGGAGCAGCCTGGATCATCGAGCAAGTAAAAACACGTACGAAACCGACAAATGCACAGGGAATGGACGTCCGAGCGATGGCAAGTACATGTATCCAGGGGCTCCGACGATCTATGTCTTCGACGAGGCTCCCGGGCGAATGCGTGCAATGCCCGCCCCTGGGCTGTTCGCCCTTATCGTCGCCGCCGAGATCCGTTTCCACCAGGACCCCTTCATTCGCTCATCGGACGGGGCGGGCAGGGCTATGACGAGGACCGATCCGTTCCCGCTCATCGGTACGGGGCATTCCCGCTATGACGAGGACAGAGCGTTCTGGAACGCTCGTTGAGCGTTCTGGAGCGCTCTGAGAAGGCCGCGTCGCAGGAGACATCCTCCAGAGCCGCCGGATCTCAGAGATTCTCGATTATTCGTCCCGGCTTCGTCTTACCTCACGTCCGATATCTGGACTGGGAGGTCAGCTCATCGCGTCGGAGCGAGGACGCTCCTCTGGTTCGGAATGGGTCCTGGTGTTGCTCGGGCTTCTTCTCTGCCCGCCCCCCCTGGCAGAAATCTGCACCAAGACCTGGGAATAAACGAGCTCAACTTCTTGCCTTACAGTCAACCCGCATAGCAAGGATGAGCGACTTTCCAAGGGTACCCTTGCATCCTCCCCCTTCGGCCCATCCTTGGCCGCTTTCGCTGGTCGCGTCCAGCTCGCAGAGTGTTGACATTGCCTTTCGAGGCCATCGCATCCTTAGCGTGCGTCCTTATTCTACGGGTTGGTTGTAGGCCCACCGCTCGCCCACGTGCTCAGCCTGGGCCCAGAGCTAGGTGGAAATACAGCCTCCCAGACCAGGCAGGAGCCGAAATCTATCAATGGTTGAGTCCGAGATGCTGCATTGCGGAGGGTCCTGGCCGTGACAGATGTTGCCGAAGAAACGCATGTGTCCTGAAACGCCGAGCGCATCGTGAGTTTCCCTTGGCGACGGGCATATACACAAGTGTGCATGTGTAGATGGAAGGCGTCAATACACACATGCTCACACACCTGCACACGCACCAGCACACGCACATACATGCATACACATATCCATACATGTATGCATGCATGCATACATGTATGGATATATGCATGCATCCATGTATGCATGATTACATTTACATGTATGTATATA